GCAAACTAACGGGTCGTCTTCATCCTCGACCTTTTCTTCCTCATCCGATTCCAAATCCTCAGTCTTCCTGGCTTTCCTCCTTTTATCTTTCTCCTTTTCCTCAGGGCTTCTATTCCTCTTCTTTTGCTTCTCCGCCTCGGACTCCGACTCCGCCATACTGCTGGTCCCCGATCGATAGCCTCCTCCCAACGCAGACGCGGACCCCCTGGAGCTACTCAACCTCCTCTCCTTCTCGTGTTTTTCCAGGAACTCCTTTTCCGCCGCTATCCTGTCCTCTTCAGCCTTTCTGGCTTCTTCTCTCCTAGCCTCATCCTCCTTCAATGTTCTCAATTGATCAGCCGACATCTTGATTTGCAATTTATGTAAAATATAAAAATCTTTTCAAAAGCTTCTCTTTGGTGTAGGTCAAACTGAAACCTGAAAAACTACATACAATTCATTAGTGATGGTTTTTTTTTGTGTTCCCCGGTTCATAGGAGTATTGCCAATCACTCCTGCGCCGTCCATAGACCAAGGCCCTACATTTCACCAATCAGGCCAAACCTCCTCGGACACCGATGCCCACCTATCACAGTCGCAGGCACCCGCATATGCCCATGGTTCTTGAGCCGATTTCTGACAATTTTGAAGCACCGCTTTCAGCGTGGCGAGGCTGCTTACTAACGGTGGCCCCCACTGTTGTCAATTTCACAGCAGTGGCTGCCATCAAGCTTAGGTCTGGAGTTGGCATGTGAAGGTATCCCCACTAGCGTCCCCCATTACCCCGACCAGAATGCAAGGGGAGGTCTGGTTCACAAATGGTGACCAGCTCAGATTTAGGGCCGTTTGCCATGGGCAAGCCATGACGTCCCCGGACACCCAATCCGCCTTCGTGTTTTTTAAAGACCCCTCACACACCGCCGGAAAAAACGTCACAAGTGCCGTCTCCCCATCATATTGTCCCTACTTACTTCAACAGTGAGTCATAGTAATTGTCAAAAAACCCCTTAACATCAAAGAATATCTATTATCTAGATTTGCAAAAAGTGTAATTAGGGGCAATACATAAATGAAGGGTATTTTAAAAAGACACATGTAGGCCTAAGGGTGACATTTACTCGGTGTCTTATTATAGAGGGTTCACCTTACGATTTATCGCTGTGTATAGTCAATGCTATTATTCAAGCCCTAATCTTATCGTTGTTTGTTTTTTTTTAGTACAATAGCTTATTACCATATAGTTGTAAAATTTTGGATGACTTTTTTTTAAGATAGTCTTTTGCAAAGCTTATACATATTTTAAAGAGGATCAACTAAGTACAATATCCAATTCAACTTGTTGGCTACAGACCAACTACAAGGGGGTAGATACTGCATCTTGGGATGATAAATTACCATGCAGTAATGCTTTACGACGGATATTTATTATAAATTGAGTCATTAAAGATAAGGGTTTGTTATCAATACTTAGATTGAAATCATTGAACCTTTTAAAATTTATTTTGTTTATTACTTCAATTAATTGTCTATGAAGATGCATAATCTTGATCGAGAAATTAAGTTAAATATTGAAAACTGCAAAGGATAATTTGATTTGCATACTACCTCTGAACAAAAAACAAAAGCCTTGAAAGTACTTTTTCCAAACTGTTTGCGGAAATACTTGACTTCCTTTCTACTAATTTAAAATTATTGTTCGAAATTTATGGCCGATCAAATCGTCCATCATGTGTACTACCAAGAAAATTATCATATAAATTTAAATATGTATTTTATTCTATCACTATTTGTAGCTCTGTTTTATTGTGTTTTGAATAAAATTTATTCAATATACTCTTGGCACAAATTTCAAATCTTAAAGCACACTAAGGAAGTGATACGAAATAGGAAAACGGGAGTTGTGGTGAAATCCCAAATAGTTCAAGTGAATAAATAACTAATTGAAACAGTGCTTTATTGCACTAGCTGTATATCCGTGCTTCACAACGGGAAGACGCTGACGAGAATAATATGGGGTTCTCCAGACGTGGTGGGTGACATAAGTATTACTCCATAATGGATTTTAGAATTAAAACTTAACTAGTGTACCTGTTGCTCGAATTCGAGCAATTGCGAAGCATTACAGGCGACTCACGACGATTATGGAAATACTCACGATCTACACAACAGTTAGATATAATCAAAATCTTTTGTAAATATCTTATCTTTTCTCAAAAAGCTGATCTTGTTTTTTAGTGTTTCTACAAATATTTTCCTCTCATAGCCGCATTAGGTTGTCTATAATAACGATTATAAATGATTATAAGAATAACGATTATAAATTTCTTTTCTTCTACTTTGTTGTGTTCTATGACTTTTTCTATGTTTCCATTGTTTGTAAATCGGTTATTTCAATGATTGCTCAAGAAATGTAGCATATTGTTAATTCAGTTTTATTTTTAGCCTATATCAAATTGTCCAGGATTTCCCGCTTTTTTCCATTGTAATAATTTTACCAACCCAAGTTTCGTCTACAGATGCAATACGCCAATGAATATTACCTACGTTCAATCTCCAAGAAGTGGTAAAAAAAGGCAGAAACCAAGCCATACAACAGATATAAGTTAACTCCTTAAGAAATAATTTTAAGAGTTAACTTACTGTGATATTAGGATTTTCCACTGATTTGTTAATAGAACATTATATTGCAAAACATGACACGGTGCAGAATAAAATTGATTTTAAAATCAGAAAAACCCATTGCAAATACTGTACTTCATTTTGACAAATTCAATAAATCACAATTTTAATATTAACAGCTGTTTCATTAAAAAGTAGTGAAGAATTATGCATATGGTAAACAAATTTGAAGAGGCAACTTTAAAGGCTTCTGGGGCAGAGCCCCAAGGGAATTTACCTCGTTCCTCTTTTGATGGCTCATCTATAGACCAAGACCTTTCTTTAGAGACCCCTACCAAGTTTCTACGCCCAGCCGTTCTCTCAAATTAGCTGGGACAAAAACCCAGTTTTTCCTCCATAAGAATAACATGGGATGGGAATTCAAAGGCCACTGGGACAGAGCCCCAAGGGAATTTACCACGTTTCTCTTTTGATGGCTCATCTACAGACCAAGACCTTTCTTTAGACACCTCTACCGAGTTTCTACGCCCAGCCGTTCTCTCAATTTAGCTATGACAAAGAAAAACTGTTTCAAATTAATATATAGATTTTACCGCTTAGTTTGACAATTTTCTTTCAACATGAATGTACAATTTTTACCTGTCCTAAGCTGCCTATTAATGTATAAATGTGGAACTGGCGCAAGTTAAGAAATACTGTACCCATATTATTTAAAGATGCGCTCACCTTGCAATTACTTTTAATAGACCCTTGCTTATATTTGAAATCAATGGATGAAAAGGAAACTAACAACATATACTGTAATTTAGCAATACCATAATTTACTTGATATTAATGTAAAATAAATTAGAGAAGTTTTCCTAAATTATTGTTTGATTTGGGCATTCTTACCTGCAGCACATTTTACAAATTTCTAAAAAAACAATAAGCGAAAGTGTGAATAATTTTACAAGAGTTCATTAAAGAAACATATAGGCTACCTAATTTTTTCCAGCCAATGTCAGGCAGAGCGCTGGGAGAGTTTCAAAATAAATAGGCCTGTGCCTGTGTCCATGTACCGGATTTTGCCTGAATTTCTGCACAATTGATCAAGTAGTTTTCACTTGATTGTCCCTCTGACAAACACACATCTTTCACATTTTATTATAGTAGTAAGACAGAAAAATTAACTTAAGTATGACTAACATTTATTTAAGTTCGTTACCGATATATTAAATTTAAAAATGTTCTTGCTGGAAAGTAAAGAAAATGCTTCAACTGGATTTAGTTCACAATTCATGTGATATGAATACTATGCCAGGGGAATAATATATTCAGTATTCAATGTTTACACGCAAGTTTGCAAGATGAATATTTCCCTCAAGAGTAGTTGAGACTTAACTCTGCCGTATGTACGTCTATAATTTTCTTTCACGACGATGAATTAATTAAATTTATTATGGATTAAACTAAACTTATTAAAATTAAAAATTAGTTATACATTATCAAACGAGTGTAGCCTATTTCATTAGCTGTAAGCAGATTTTCCGTCTCAGTTCTGAATCATTTGAATAATCCTTCAGAACACTGGTTTTATTAAAAGTTGGCAAGAGTTTTCTTGTATAGTGAATGAACATATTTATTTCTCTTTAAAAAATACAAATTACCATAGTGACACCATGAACTGTTCAAACTAATAATTATTTTGTATGGTCGTATTGGGAAAGAATTTAAACAGGAATTATTGCTACAAGTATGTTAAAATATCGGTACTCTTGGAACAATTAAAAAACTTAAAATATGAATTGAATACTTCAACATATTCAATTATTTAACAAAATTTAAATTTCATCATGACCATCAACATCTGTAGGTCATTTATTTTCTTAATACGAAAAGATGAGTTTTTAATTATTTTTAAAACACAATAACACACGTGAATACTCTACTTTACATGCAACAGAATAAAAATATTACAGCATTAACGTTATTAATACATGAGTAGGAAAATGTACAATAACCTCCCAGGACAAATTAAAACGGAAAAAAATATGCTGCGGAGAAAATATGCTATCTATTAAAAGAAAATTAAAATCTTATCTCATCCTCTTGTGTCCTAATTCCCTAGACGATTTCATAAGTAATTTAGTTTTAGGTTTGATGTATTGATTAAAAACAAAGAGATTTAGCATAAGGTGTTATTAGTTAGTAAAGTAATTGACATGGCATGTGTTTATATGTGAAAATCGCAATCTTGTAAACTTTATATGACGAATACACATTTCATTTCATATATAATTTATGCAAACCGGTAGTTATGAATTATTGTTCCTAAACGCAGGAAGTGGGCGGAGCTACAGTCTAGCAGGATGAGGGTAGTGTTTCCATGGCAACTGCAAACGCAAACGTAAACATAACCTCTAGTAACCCCTGACTATTTCAAGTGTATCACTGACCTTTTTACGTCTTTCAGTTGCAGTTCACATGCCAAGTTTAGCTTCTTCCTTTTTAGACTGTTTGTAAAATGATCACGTTTAATCAAAATGTTGGTGACTCAAATCAAATATAGTTTAGTTCTAGGAGTGCAATTGTCTTTGTTGTTGGTTGATCTAGGAATTAATGCTTTTGGAGATAGGCTTAGGTATAATAGCGGTCTGCTTTTGTTACTTTTTATGTGAGTATGTTTTATCATCATTTATCATTAAAATTATCACTTGTATATGAGGTAATATTTTTAAGTAATTGATGATAAAGAACAATTTCAGTACCTATGTTGCCATTGAATCTTTAAGAAGACTGTCAACCATAGAAAATAAGTTAATGTTATTAATTAAAATAAGATATATCTAGCTTTAGAAGTGTTTACACAAGATTTGACTCCCTTACAATATTCAACACATATCTTTAATATTTTTATAAATCTTTTTATAGAAAAACTTCAGGTACCTAATTTTAGGTTAATTTATAATATAAAAATTTTCCTAATCTCTTTTACATTTAACCACTAACCAGTGAATTGCATGAATCAACAATAAAATGAGAAAAATTATGTTCGGTACTTTCTGAGTTAACTTTCTAATTCTTTCATGCTTTTGGTGTGTTACTGGTAGTCTCCTCCAATTTTGGTAGTTTTTATGTCATATATTCACGTCCTAAGACGATATGCTCTAGTCTGGAACTGTTTTACACATTACCTCAGGCCAGGCATAGGAGGTCGTGAAATTATCACAAAGATCAAATCCTTCATAGGTGGGATTTGAACCCAGGACCTCGAACAACAGCAATGCCCTGCAGTTAAATTCATTATATGAATATACTATACCACAAAAAAGAGTTAAATTTATCGTTTTTCTTCAACAGAATCCAAGACAGTCTACAAGTATTGTCTCTGACCATTCTCTTCATCACCATCTTCCAAACAAATGTATTTCAGGTAAAGTGAAGTAGTAAGATTTTTATATCTAAAATAGTTATCATGTAACCTTTCACCCGTGGTTTGGCACAAACTGTAGTTACAAATGTTGTGTGTAAGCATATCACAGATGAAAATGCACTTGTGAACAGAATACTGGGATTTAAACATGACAAACTACATAACCATGGCAGAGATGTCTTGGGTTTGTGTCCCATGTGTCGCAATTAAAATTTATCCATTAAAGATTATTCTTGTATTGTACTGTACTGTTTTGCTTGATATGTTGAACGCCCTTGAAATATGTGGATGAACAATGTAAGGTTATAAAACCCTGCCAAGACAGCCTACACAGCTGGTCACCTCCACCTGTCTCTAGTGTATTTCAAGTTACCTGTATCATAGTTTGTGTGAGAGAGGTCTTTTTAAAATAATTTCTCAAATTAATTATACAATAAAAGTTAACTTTCATTAAGCACCACACATTAAACAGCATTACAGCCAAAATAGCAATTTTCAGAGAGAGCGGATATTATGACAACACCAAAAAATGCTTGGACACATGCATGTGTATCAACGTAAGGTTTAAAAAATAAAACTATAAATACTTATATTTGTATATTATAATGCATTCACAACCTGAGGCAGGTTAACTGTCCACCAACTAGCTTTAAATGAAAATAAGGCTTAAATGAGAAAAACTGTTTGATTTAAAGTTCATATCAAAATCATTTTATGAACACTCCTGTTGTTAATGGAATATGATAGTGTATTAACAGCTTGGATTACAGGCAGGCTTCATATCTCTGCTGTATGACAAGTTCCAATACCCAGTCCTTGTTGCCATGGCGTACTTACTGCTGACCATTGCTCTTCAGTCATGGATGTTGTCGGTGCGATGGGACGAACCTCTCAAATATAACTGGCCGACTTTCATGGGTCTCTTGTACACCATACAGCGATCAAGTAAGTTGTTCCACAATGTTTACTTTCCTGCAGTAATAAATTTTAGTTCAGGCTGTTAAAAACCGTGTATAATTTTATTTCCGAGAATAATACTAACTCGCCTGTACAAAATTACAAAAGCGACGGTGGTAAATAAAGGGGGTCATGTGCAACCTCAGTCAATTCAGCAACTAATTTGTTCACCACTCTAATGAAAACGATCTATGATACTAAAATAAGACTAAAACTTAGATTTTGCATTAAACTCAACATTTCAGACAAAACAATCATATAGGTAACATTATAAATTTTGATGCATTGAACCTAGATCGATTAAATTCCGCTAACACAATATGGACATTTTTTAATTGTAAGCCACGAAGAGACCCACTTAGGTGTCAATTATAATTTGAAGATTACATGGGCTTATTTAGTTTCCATATAAGGTATCAAAAGTAATTCATGCTCAACATGTTTCAAACTATGTACGCCTTTAGGCCTACTTGTAAATACCAAAGTGCTAAATGTTTATTTTCCTACCACTGCATGGAATTTCATGTTGGAAATGAGAGCATTGTAACATCTGTAAACTGTACGTAAGATAGCACATTTTAGCTCTAAAGGTAATGAACCGCTAAATCAGCTGATTTCAAAATCGGCGTTTCTACACCAACCACAGCAGCGGACCCTGTACCTACGTTAACAAGCAAATAATATAACCTAAAAAAGTAAATGCAAATATGACCTAAATGACATTTTATATACAGCTACATGGCCCCCACAAGGGTGGGGCTTGTGCAACTCTGGTCACAGGGCCCAGGCCCTCAGGGGGCCCGGGCCTTCCGGCCTACCCGTTTTATTCTCTTTTTCCCCCATTGAAGATCACTTTACAGCAGATCATAAATTGAAGATAAAAATAAATAATATATATATTTTACAAAAAACAAAGTTAAATAATTTAATATGTATTAATTCTAGATTCTAGGCTAGTTTATATTTCAATGCTATAGGTGCGTAGGTGCGTATGTACTACCATTGACTTTATAAAGTCAATGGTACTATACAACAGCAGAACAGCCAGCTCGGGCCCCAGTGGCCGGCCCCACAAACTCCCTCTACCCCTTCCTCCCGCCAGGCGCCTAGCCACTCCTACCTCACTCCCTCCATAATAAATAAAGTTTGGTTTTATAATTGAAATGATAGTTTCAAGAATCAATCATTATAGTTATAAGTTAAAATAAAATTTGTAAAGCATTGAAAAATTGACATGTACTATGCACCATAGCTAAGGTGACCAGACGTTCCGTTTTGAACGGGACAGTCCCGTTTTAGGGGGACTGGTTCTTCCCGACAAATTCTCTTGGGACACTTATTTGTCCCGTTTTATCAACATTTGTTCCCGGTTGCACTTTTATGTATGGGATATTTCATAGTAATTGCAATCTAGATTATTAGGCACAAACTTAAAAATTCTTTACTTTTGGAGTTTAAAAAATATGAAAGATTGTAATAATTTTGACCTAAGTTTTCTTCCCAGTTCGCTCGGTATAATACTGTACTAAAGCATCGGCCATTCTCGGCGTTACTTATGCACATTCGTTTTTCTCCGTGACTACTTGCGCAAGTCCGGCAGCTCCACAAAATGAAGTATTGTAAAAATTCTTGATGAAAATTGTCACTGAATAAAATAAATATGATTTCATTGGTGTAAGCTGTTAAAGTCGATTCATGTAAGTTTTTTTCCTACTGCATATTACAAAGTACAATTATAGCAGTTAAGATAGCCAAACCCCTTTTACAGGGAAATAAAAAAGACAAAATATTAATAGGAATGGAGCTTTTGTTTATTGATATAATAGTTTTAATTGCTGAATTCCTGTAATTTTAAGTCTCATAAAACTCATTGAAGAACTCTTTTCTTTCTTAAAAAAGGCTACAAAAGTGCCATTTACCACTCACAAATTTAATACCTAGATTGCCTTAGAAACTCACTAAAATACATGCCATTTTCAAAATTGTCCACCCCCAGCCTAGAGGGGGTAGGGGGGCCCGATCCAGATCCTGGTAACAAGGCCCACAATTAGCTATTAATATGTGTGTTATAAGTTAATTATGGTGGGTAGAAAAAATCTTGAGTGTATCACAAGCCCAAACAGTCATTGCCACTCTCGAAATGTATGGACAGTCATCTACAGTTCTCGAACCATAATGGCAAACTTTGCACCCGCTATTCTATGTATTCGTGTGTGTAAATATCCGACAAGCATCGGGCAATGTGATTTTTAGCTAAATTAATGAATTGCTGCTGAAGATGAACTGTCATTAGTTTGAAACATGTCCAGCATGAATTAAACACTTCTGACACCTTACATGGCAACCACTGTACGTAAGTAGATCATATTATAATTGAAAATCAAGCGTGTCAAGGATGTTTCAATTTAAAACACAAGTGTTTCAAACACAAAATGTGTCTGCCATCGAGTAAAATTATGTATTTTGTGGATTTTTCCAACACTGAGAAAAGAATTACCAACATTCTTATTCTTTAATGTCATATTCATAGAAGGAAACATACTGCACACTGCAGTGTTTCTGCATATGGTTTGGTTACAGAGACATTGACACATTTATAGTTCAAAACATGTTTCAGTGTCTTGCCTTCACTACTATTTCTACAAGAGATCAGTTCTATGCCTGACAGATCCAAGATTCTATGACGATCACTGGATCAACCTAAAACTGAACGGAAACAACTAATGTCAAAATGAAATCAAATTATAATTAGACTTTATATTAAGGTGCCATTTAAAAAATAATCAAAGTTTGTAAGCCGTTGTAATGTATTTTAGAATGTTATCATAGTTGTAATGCTCTATTGTTTTACAAATAAAACTTGAAATGATGTGTTTTATTGTTTATATTTATTTCCTCAGGTTCCTATTTTACAATTTTTAATTAACTTTAAGTATTGTTCACCTTAGTTCTCAATCCACTTAAAATCAGACAACAGTCCAATCCACTTAAAATCAGAAAACAGTCAAGTTGATAGGGTCGAGACTCGGCACCTGTCATGTGCGCACTGCACTGTCAATAATAATTGTTAACGTAAGCCCCCAAAGTTTTTTGTCTGTGATGTGTTGAATGATGTGTTAACATTAAAACGTGTGTACTGTATAGGTTCTAAAGCAGTGTCAGGTATTATAATATGTTCACAATTTCCTTCTGTTTTACCAAGCAGGTTTTGAAATGTCCAAAAATATATATATATTTTCTAAATTCAAAATTTTCAAATAATGTTCAAGGAAGGGAAGTTGGAATGAATCCAGAACAAACAGTTTTCAACATTCATGTATATTATCCATATAATTATATAATAAACGATAAACATTTAATACAAGTAAATAACAGTCAAGGTACACACAAGCAATGCTCTTTGAGACATTCCAAGGCATTTCATGGCCATCAGCTGTTCACTTTTTCACAGTTGCATAACTTTAAAGTTAACGTTCTTGGGCAATATCACAACCTAAATAACTTAAAGCTAAAATAATTATAATAATTTACAAAAGAAACATGTCTAGACCAGTAGCAAATATTAAATGACTTGTATTTTGATTAAATACTCTTGTATAATATGTGCGCTAAATACTGTTAAAATCAAAGTCAGAATGAGTCATATCTTTGACTTTTGGATTCCGTTATAGTCAAAGGTCACATACTTAAAACAACAAAGTTTCAAAGAAAAAATAATTGCATAAACCCAACATAATGGTTGGTTGGCAGTGCTTTTTATGGTCGATGTAAAGGTGGAATGTTAGATTTATTTATTTTTAGTTTATATTTATGTGGCAGTCCAGTAATTCCAGTAAAGTAAAAAATACATCAAATATTGAAACATAATGCTCATAGTGTAATAAAGAAACAAAACCAGGGTCTTCAGTAAAACATTCAAATTGTCAAATGTGTTTCAAACACGTTACCAAACAATATTAAATTATATACTTCTAGAAAAATAATACTAACTTCCCTGCATTTTTAAAAATAAGTAATGCATTTCAGATAGCAAAATTTTGACTCACTTACCTGCATCTTCATACTCTTTGTTTTGACACTAAGCATAAATTAAACATTTACATAAAGTCTAAAATATAAGCTAAATACAGCAGATATAACATACTACAGTAGAACCCCGCTAATCCGATCTCAGCTAGTCCGACACCTCACTTTATCCTACAGTGCCATCATTGACAATGTTATCTTAGTGATATCATGACCATTTCATGTAGTCATACCACCGCCTCACACAATCGTGGAAAAATCTTGTTTACCCCCCGTGGCAGTAAAAACCTGAATATATTCGGTGGTAAAGGAAACATCAGTGTTTTCTGTGATCAAGGTAACGATATCGTCATCCTCTGAGATTCCTACTTAATCTAGGATATTTCCTGTGGTAACAGAAACATTGTCATCATATACCCTGATTGTGCAATATAATGAACACCTCCCGCTGGCAAGGGAACATTACCATCGTTGTGGAAAAAAATCCTAAACAAATCCCGTGGTCATGGAAAACATCATCGTCTTTGGTGATTGTGGCAAAACAATGAACATCTCCCGAACTTGCGGGAACATCGTCATTGTCTTCTCCGTTTGTGGCAAAATCCTGATCATGCTGATCCTCAAATCCGATCTTTACACTATTTCGGACAAGGTTAGTAGTTCGGCCTTAGGATTGGCGGAGTTGTACTATATTTTATTAATGTTACAATGAATAAACGTCTAGGAATAAAAACATTGATAAGTGTTAAAAAATACAACTAGCTATGATAAGTCATGCCTAAGGGTTTAGTTTCTCAAGGTGTACTTAAAGCTGAACTCCTTTATCCCCTACTTCAAATGATGCAGTGTTGGAGTTTTTAATCAACACTAATTTCAAATCAGGATAATTTTTCAACATAACAACTAACTAACCAAATACCCAATGCTATTGTGGTATGGGCCAAAAAGTAGCATAGGAAAACAAATAGCTTATTACTCTACACTAACATAAAATGTAAATGTATCTTTTCAACTAAATTTGTCCTTGGCAATGAAAACAAATTGTTCACCCTCTCTTATCCCTTTTAGAAAACAAACCTGCTCTCTTATACCCCTAGGTATGTCACTGGCAAAAAAAGCATGCAAATAATACAATACTCACATATAAAAATAAATCAGTGTCTTATAAAATAAAATATCACATATAATCATTGTTAGAGATCCATATATGGTTACTGGGTTTCCTTATATAATGTTGACCATCAAAAGACTGAGGAAGGAGCCGCAAGCCAGTCCAACTCCAAGAAAAGCAGCCATCATGGACGACGCTACCTCTTGCTCATGTAGCTCTACAATTCTGTAGACACAAATTGTGTAATGATGTTATTAAATTCTGCAATTTATGAGTGTAAAAACCTATCACAGACACCAAAACGTAGTAGATTTCATCACCCTAGGTCAACTTAAGTTAGATTTCTTTCCTCTAAAACTCTTTGAGAAAATGTAGACAGTATTGTGTTATAGTGCTATATGTAATTATAGTTCATATATGAGTATGATCAAAAGATAATAAAGGTCCTTAAAGGCAGACCGTAGATGAAACCAAATAGGTGATGCATTAATCAGCAACCTACATCCTAATGTCTACTTTACTCGTTTATTGAGTACTTTCTCCTCAATCATATTTGCAGGTTATTAGAAGACTATACAGTGCTTATCTTTCCATAATATTATGGAACTCATATAATAAAAGAGACTTAATGTTGACTTTAAAGGACCAATTCCCTCAATTACATGAAATAAATACATTCTAACTATCGTTGATGGGTTTTTGTTTTCAAGATAACCATTTGCTATTCCGTGTGTGTGCCTAGACATCAATCTTCACACTGCAAACGTTCCTTACTGTGCACTGCTACAAAATGAAATGCCACACGAACGCTTATTTAAACATTTAAGACGCTCGTTTTATGGAACCTCTCAACCACAGTGACTGATAACCCCGGGACCGGTAGGCCTATTAGTTAGGACGTTATGAGGCATGTGCGTAACAGCAAGTATGGACCTGTAGTTGATCAGACTCAACTTAGTCTTCTAGAGTCTACTAGATATTTGATAATAATAGTAGCTATGAAAAACTTACATTTATCCTATTAAAGAAACACTCGGTAGTGTAGACATTTTCATTTATTTATTGTTAAAGAATACATTTTCAAACATTTACACATTGTGATTTAATCATAAAGTTTCTGAACACTGACTTCATTAACATACAGCAAACAATTAGGAAAATAATTTCACTACTAATAGCCAAATGCAAAGGCAAAATGAGGGCTGCATAACATCAAAGAGGATTGCATTTTATAATAACTTGTAAAAAAACATGCAGCTTTAAACAATTTTTTTTTTACAGTGTTTCACGATAAACTCTTAAACACACATTTAAAAAGTATATCTCATTGCTCCAGAATAGATAAAGAAGACATTTCAATCTTTTGAATCTTCTGCTTTTAATTTAAACGTGCTACTCATCAAAAAGTTGATTGGTTTCTGGAGAAATATTTCAATTTTCTTGTATACTTTACTTTTCAATATTTAATACATATTACCTTTTGTGATTTTGTGATTACCTTTTTATCCAAAAATATCTTGCTTGGAAATCAATTTAATTCAAATACATTTTTACAGAGCTCCATAGCTTGAAGGTTATTAAGTACAAAAACTCAAATACAACCATAATATTAAAACCATTAAGCATCCCAAAAATGCTGATACAGTAAGCCAAGAACTGACTCATGTTGGTTATGCTTACACCAACTCGGACTGTAGCATAGCATCCTTTTTCTTTGTAATGTAAATTTATTGATCCGGAAGTTCCCCCAACATCCCTTTTCCCGAGCAATGAACCCAACTCATTTAATTTTATACTTGGAGAGTGAATTTTTCTTTTATATGACTCTTTAAGTTCATAAGATAAGGATATACAGTCCGGTAAGCATCCACAGTCACACATTTCCTTATTCACAGAACATTCTTGAAAGCAGATCTTTGTGGAAATGTTGTGTCGAGGCAGGTAATATGGAACACATCCACACACATTTAGAGAACAGTTAGCAATACATTCAGTCTCACAGTTTTTTTCTGTGTAGAATTTGAACATGGACAACTCTCTTTCATAGGAAAAATAACAACCTCTCTGATGAGACGAATAGGTTTTGATGCCTTCATCTGTAGTCAAGAGTTTGGGAATCACTTTCAAATGTTTTGCAAATCCTCCTTCAAGAATGAAGTCACTTTCAAAGTTAAAAGGAATTTCAAAAGGGCTGTGTACAGCAAAAGATGTTTGTGCCTTATTTTCTTGAAAACATGGTTCCCCTTCTTGTTCGTCAGTAATAATATGTGACTTGAGACGGATGCCTTGATCATTGGTAATGTACATTGGTATGGTATGTATATTCCCACCAGAATAGAGTGCATTGTCTAAGTTCAAATTTTCCCCAGTGTAGTTTTTCTCTGAATTTATGTTGGAGCCATGTTTTGCTGATAAAATAGGAATTGCAGTTTTTCTATAAATGTCTTCATGATGCAATCCATTTATAGTTATACACATACTCTGATTTGTTAAGGAATATTGGCAGTGGTTATAAAAACAGCCTGATTCATACGCTGTACTGAATCGACCATCATATAACACTTTAAATAAATTAATGTCATACCGTAAACTGATAGCTTGAAATGCATAGTTTGGAAACTCTACAAAATTTATAGTTTGCTGAATCTTTTCATGAAACTCTTTTGATAACAGTAGATTAGGAGGCAATAGAGATGAGCAAAGAAGATAGATTAAGCCTAAGGAAGCTTGCTCTTCGTGGGTACAGTCTTCGCTGAAACAATAATTATGGTAATTATTGTGATCTTGATCAACACTATCGTCTTGATCATCATACGTGGAATTGGATTTGCATTTCCAGCACTTCTCTAGCACTTCAGTATAATCTGATCTGATAATGGGTTCGAGCGGGTAGCACATCGTTATAGCTGGGAATGGGATTTCACTGGCCAAAGTTAAGTTATTAGAGATATATCTTATAACGGGTGTACTTTGCCAGCTGTCATACTCTTCCTTGATGAAAAAGAGACTCAGCAGTAATGCCAACATTTGGATAAATACCCACAAATAGGTGTGCAATCGAGGTTGGTTCCTTTCCCCAAGAAACTGAAACCCAGGCAGGCTTATAGACTTTGTCATGTCTCTGAAGTAAGAATGTGGAAAGTAGTCTTCATCCACATGAAAGGTGTCATGTCTGTCTTCAATATCAGATTGACACAAGTTGGTATTTACTGATCTGTCAATCGTATCTAGAGAGCGAACATTACCTGAGTTGGTACACTGACTGGATTCCATGCACTTTAAAAGCTCTTCCACCTTGTTCAATCTTATTTCAACCAATTCTAGCTTGGAGGAAGAATCTTGCTGCTCCTGTTCTGGTGGAAACAAAGGATTCATATTGCCAAAAACGATAATTTGTTATAAACACAAGTTCTGATTTGAAAGTTCACAATGATGCCTTTAAAATGTATTAAACACTTTTTACAAATATACAGTTCTACTTCAGCATCAGTATACGATTGTGTTGCTTATGATATCCTGTTAAAATAATTAGGAAAATGTATCAAAATTACCCTGTTTATTTATTCAAACAGCTAATTTTATTACAACCACACCCTGTTAATTTGGGTAGCACAGGAGTAGAGTTTTCAGGCTGTTTTATAGGATCAATGACAGGACAATTAATTTTATCTACCTTATAAAAAACATAATTAGTAAATAGCAAATAGTATTATTAAAAAAAAATAACTATCCATGGACTCAAAATCTAAAATAAACTTTTTCAAATTATATACCAAAACTGTAATTTGTTGTAATTAAGTCAAATTTAAATTTATTGTTCTTGGCAGAAGTATACTATACCCTCCCCAAAAAAATAAAACCCCTGTTTCAGGTGGAACCTGAGATGAAGTGATATGATGACAACAACCCAAAAAATGTTCTTGATCCTTATGGGTTTATGTTGGGGAAGTTTTTGGAAAATGATTTTACATATATAACTACTAGCAGATTACCACTAATATAAATAATATATATAATATATATATATTAATATATAATATAATAATAATATTAATAATTATATATATTATATAATTAATAATTATATGTATAATTAATAATAATAATACAGTAGACTCTCGCTCATCCGGACTAATGTGGCGGACGTCCGGTCCGGATTACGAAAAATCCGGACTATTGAGAGGCGAGCAAATACACAGTACTGTATATAGACGTTTTTTCAATTTTGTTCCAGGTCCACAGTAATGATAGCCGGGCATAGCACTTCCACCATCGGTCGAATTTTGTTCCAGGTCCACAGTAATTATAGCTCGGGCATATGCACATCCACCGGTAATAATTTTTTCGGCCGAATTTTGTTCCAGGTCCACAGTAATTATAGCCCGGGCATATGCACTTCCACCGGTAATAATTTTTTCGGCCGAAATTTGTTCCAGGTCCACAGTAATTGTAGTCCGGGCGTATGCACTTCCACCGGTAATAATTTTTTCGGCCGAATTTTGTTCCAGGTCCACAGTAATTATAGCCCGGGCATATGCACTTCCACCGGTAATAATTTTTTCGGCTGAATTTTGTTCCAGGTCCACAGTAATTGTAGTCCGGGCATATGCACTTCCACCAGTAATAATTTTTTTCGGCCGAATTTTGTTCCAGGTCCACAGTAATGATAGCCCAGGCATATGCACTTCCACCGGTAATAATTCATACCGAGTTTTTTCATTATTCGAGGTAGTCTACTGTACTGAGCCACTAAAAAAAATCACGATTGCCGATCCGGACTACCGGGAGTCCGGACAAGGCCGATCCGGATGAGCGAGAGTCTACTGTAATATAATAATTATATATAATATATATATAAGTACTAGCAGAGTTTGGGGAGCAAGCTGGCGTAGTGGTTAGTGCGCGGGACTTCAGTCCCTGAGGTCCCGGGTTCGATCCCCGCCAAGTCACCAATGGATTTTATCTAAGTGATAATGCCGCAACCCCTAGGTCCAGCCTGAAGTAATGTGACATACAATCCCAGGCTCGTGCCTAGCGTCCTTAGGACAAAAAAAAAACTAGCAGAGGACCCGTCCTTTGTACGGGGTTGGCATATAAGTATAAAATGCTTATTGCAGTTATACTCAAGCTTTGCATTTGCAAAGGGAGAAGACACGGTTTGAGAAAATTTGATTCCTCAAATTTACGGTAGGCCTATGCTATTACACATCTACCATAGTCATAATGTTCTACCACTTCACATACGCAATAAAGAAAGGTAAATTTTTAAAAATGCATAAAATATCACAAATCATTCATAAAAATAAACATAATGTAAACAATCCTCTTTGACAGTTCTCATTGTGTATCACAGTTTTTTTGTTGCTGCTTAGTTCAAATTAGCTGTTTTCATAATATAATAGTGCTGCTCCCTGTTTGTAAATCTTATAGCTTTTTAATGCTTTTGCATATCACAGAACCAACTCTTTTAGTTGAAACAGCTGAACAAATTCTTTAATTCCTTTTAAATATGAATACTCATAAGGTTAACATGGGGAACTGCAGAGCCACTGGGGCGGAGCCCAAAAGTATTTTTGAAATAAGAATATGCCTATATGTTAATCGGGAATGTGAGCTATCATCATGCCAAATTTCAGCCCAATCCGACCAGTATTTTTTGCGTTTACTTGTCACAAACATACATCCATACATCCAAACTTTCTCATTTATAATATTAGTAGGATTAAGTATTAAGAATTAAATTTATTCAGAGATATACATTCTTTTTAGGATCATAAAACTACCAATTTTATGTATTTTAATGGAAAAAATAAATATTAAAGTGTCTGAAACTCGATTTCCGTTATTAATAATTTCAAGCCACTGTACTTGAACAAAAATTTCTGTCTGGCAGTTAATAAGGTGCCCTGGCATACCTAAACGGAACTCCAAACCCAAAATATGTTCCAATCAAATACACTAACAAAATATAAGAAAAAAGTGGCAGAGCTTTCAAAAAGCCAGCTACACGCCCACATGCCAAATCAAGAACACTCCTATACCATTATACAGCAATGATGGAAGTACAGCCTGCCGAATAGAAAAGGACAGAGCCGTCTAATATACAAAATAACCTGCAATCGCAATCCCCCTTGTACCAAACAATACCTTGGCTACACAAACGGGTCATTTTCCCAGCGTTTTAAAGAGCACCAGCACAACACTAGTCATTACAAAATTCCAACTTCCATAGTAGCAAAACACCGCAAACAAAAAAACACCCACTCAATATCATTATTCCCTAATTCCCTTACAGATTTTAAACAAACAAACTCAGTCTAAACTCACAACCAAAATACAAGATAGCTACCAAATTTATAAACATATAACCGAATCTGGACATGATAGCCTGCTTAATGTAAAAGAAGACTTTAACAGTTCCATCATCTTTAAAACTACATGAAATATAAACCAAATCTAACCCATATGGTAACATTGCAGAAAACAGGCACTGTCCCAAACACAACAATTCCGGGAATCCCACGCCCCAGTCAATCTACACCCCTGACAATGACAGTCTAACTGTACAAGATGTGCTGGAAGTAAGCCTTCCGCGCCCGCCACTACCCCACTCATACGCCACGAGTGCAAGTAACCCCAGTTATGTAATATATATAAACCGACTCACCAACTTTGTATATAGTATTTATTTATTTATTATTTATACATAGTTTAGTGTAACTCCGAAGATAGCACAAATTTTGGCAAAATGCGCATCAGTGGTCTAACTTAGAACTTTAAGAACTACTTAAGGTATTCTACAAAATAAAAGGTAGCTTAAACTATGACAAATCATAGGCTACGCTACAGAATACAATTAACTTACTTGGGCACACAGATCATGGTAATGTTGGCCAGATATCCATTGGTGAAGCCGAACATGACCACGATGAGGATATAGAGGATGTCCGAGTGTATCAGCACAGGTAGATGGTGTCTGGGCTGAGCGTTACAGAGCAGCAGAAGAGGGAAGAAAACAACCCTCAGCAGACTCAGCATACCAACCACCCAGGCTCGCTTCTGTGGCTGGAAAACCAAGGATAATTTACAAAACTTTTACTGTATGATGGTTGTCTATTAATCAAAGTCTCGCAGTAACCTCAACACCTTTAATGAATACAACAGGACTAATCACATATGGGTAAAAGAAGCTTAATATTATAGGCCTATTGTCTGGGTAGCCATGTGGCCGCCATTAAACCTGAAGGTCGCTGGTTTGATTCCAAGCGAGATAGTTTATACAGTTGAACCTCGCTAATCTGTCACCTATGGGACCGGGAGTATGGTTGAAACAGCATAAAGGTTAGATTATCAGAGGATCCCGTTTATTGGCATAGTAAAAAACATAGTAAAACTGTATTTTAATTTGCGTTAAACGGTCGTCACATAGTACAAATCTGTTCCCATGCCGAGACTCGGCTCTAAGATATCACTCTAAGACTGTAAGATAATTGACTCAAAGTATAATAATATGATGGTACAATAAGTGAGTAAAACCTAGTGTACATATAATACTAATACTAAATACTGATGAGTTTCGTTTCTGGTTGTAGATTTTTTCAAAGACTCCTTGTAACATCTATTAGACAACAATAAATAGATTAGGTAGTCATTATTTGTAATATTTTAAATATTGGTTTACAAGACTGTCTTTGTGGTATATTCTTGATTGCTCACAGAAATATTGGACATACTGTATATATTTAAACTACTCAAACTGATATACGTCCATTAATTTTACAACCAGAAACGAAACTCGTATTAGTATTATTCTGTATACTAGGTTTTACTCACTTATTGTACTATTATATTATTAATACTTTGACTCACTTATCTTAGTCTTAACACGTTGACTGCTAACGCCGACTATAGTTGGCGTCGCTAGCACTTCAATGTGGCGCGCGCGCCGACAATAGTCGGCACCAGACCAACAGAAATATATTGAGTCAGTGTGAGCTTAGCCTCAGACGGAGACGTTATAATCGTTGCCAGCCTGCCAGCTTAGAATGCGAGCTTTACTTTGGTGTAGGTTGGTACTAAAATTTCCCGTAAAATCCTGTCTGGCAATGCTTTTGTCCCGGTTTCGGGGATTTTTTCTCTTCAACCCACATTACAAAGACACTGGATACGGATCCGTGCAGTGCTGCTACCTTTGGGTGTTTCAGTGAACTACATCCACTCTCGGGGTAACGCAGCACAGTCACCACTGCTCTTTTGTGATTCGTCAGACTGAAATATTTGAATGCCAATTGCGTTCGCTGATTCGGTTGCGTGCCGGGGCTCCGCCTGCCACTGGGCAGCGCCTGTACGTTGTTTTCAGAAGTCATCGTGTTAAAGTGATATCTTAGAGTCAAGTCTCGGCATAGGAACAGATTTGTACAGGACTATGTGACGACCGTTTAACGCAAATTAGTTAGCAGGCCTACATCAAATGTTTTTTGTTATAGCTAATGTGATTTGTACGTGTGTGTCAGAAAGACTGTGACATGACCATATGGCTTAAAAAATATGTTGTAAGATTTGACGATGATGCTCTGTCATCAAAAAGCGTAATCCTGTTCTTTGGACAGCAATGAATCACTTGGTGATAAAGGTAATTTTAACCTTTTATATATATATTTTTAAATAAAATAATAATTTAGGGTCAGAAATTCACTTTCTAATATTAAATTACCAATTGCAATAGTCCAGCGAAGATTCTTCCAAAGTAGTCCATCACACTCATAATCAGGTAAGCCACCACAGGAACAAAGTATACATCTGAAACATTTAAATTTACAGTAAACACAGAGAAGTAAGTTACAGAGGGACCAAGCAATTTCAGCTCTAGTATGTTGTACTTGAAATATAAATGTGACAAGCAAGGAAGAGCCGGAGCAGCATGCATTGTGTGGAAATTCCTATCCCACAGGGCACAGAGTAGGCACAGGGGTCCTATCTTGAGAAATATAAAAAATGAGAAATTTTTTTGAGTATCATGCTCTGTTCAACGAACAACAATTTGGTTTCAGGGCTGGACGCTCTACTACGGGGGCCATCGATGCCATGGTCCGCACAGTCTTCAATTGTTTTGAAAGTCGAGAGGCTGCTTGGGCCACTTTTATTGACCTAAGCAAGGCCTTTGATTGTGTTGACCATGGCATCCTCCTCCAAAAGCTGGAGTATTATGGTATCCGTGGTGCGAGCCTCAGCCTATTCAGGACATACCTTGCTGATCGAAGACAGGCAGTTTGCATAGGCAATACCTGGTCCTCTGTCCTATCCACTAACTGTGGAGTACCTCAGGGCTCAGTATTAGGTCCTCTCCTGTTCCTCATTGCCATCAATGACCTGCCCTTCAGCCTCAACTGTGAAGCATATTTGTATGCAGACGATACCACCATTCTAAGTAAGGGTGCAGATGTAACGCAGCTTGTAGCTGCAGTGGAAAGTAGCCTAAGTTTGACCTCTGAATGGTTTGCAGCAAATAAATTCCTTATCAACGAGGACAAAACACAGTCTATGCTATTTAGCTTGCGGCCTATACCTCAAATGGAGGAAACTATAAAAAACAACTCAAATGTTAAGATTCTTGGAGTAATTGTTGATCCCCAACTAACTTGGAACTCCCAGGTACAACATATATGCACAAGACTAAGTAGGCTTACTTTTTTATTTAGAAAATTAAGGAACCTTCTGCCTGTAAATCATCTCAAAAATGTTTACTTTGCACTTGTCCAGTCAATTCTAAGCTACGGGATAATCCTTTGGGGAAATAGTTACCACATCAATGATGTTCTTGTTGCCCAAAAAGAGATTATTAGAACTATATTTAACAAAGATCAAAATGAACATTGTAAACCATTATTTATTAACTTTAATGCTTTGACTGTGATAAACCTTTATATTTATAATGTATTGTTATCTAGTTTTAAGTTGCATGAAACCTTTGCTCTAAGGGGTGATTTTCATTGCTTTGACACTAGGAAAAGAGAAAACCTTGACATTCCTTTTACAAGACTGGAAAAGATTAAAAGAAGCCATATTATTATGGGTAGAAAGTTGTGGAACAAACTATCGCCAAGAATAATTCAACTCCCTTACAATAGTTTTAAGAATGCAATTTATGAATGGCTTGTCAGAAACCCCCTGTATAAGATTGATGAGTTTTTTGCTCTACAACCAATGACATAACCTCAAATGATTATTTAATACCAGCCTTGCATGTATTTTCAGCCTGTCTATAGCTTATCTGCTTTTGTATGATTATTTATTTGCATGATTTGTAATAATTCTTTATTATTACTATTAGTTGCTTGAACTTGACTTGTGCCTCTACCAGCATGTATTTATATAATTTGACTGTGTCTCATGCATTTATATAATGTCTATAGACGAATAAATATCATTTCATTTCATTTCATTTCATTATCTCACTGGGAGGGGAATATTGAAGGACGTCCAAATGTCATAACGTCCAATAATACAAATCAATGTCACAACATCCAAAATTTAATTTTTGAGCTATCTCACGACGTCCAATCAGGGCGGGATTCCTCAAACAGCGCGGTAGGCCCGGGCCTGTGGTTTCATGATCACAGTGTGCGTATATAGTGTAAAGTTTTGTGTTTCCTGTGCCAGTATCAACTCTTTACCATTCAGGTTAGCCAGCAGTCCTCTCAAAAATTCCTAAAAACATATTGGTAAAAAAGTAGTCTTTCAGAAGAAATTACAGAATGTTTTCATAATTCCCTTTTCAGACCAACCAAATTCCTTGACTTTTCCAGGTTTTCCCAGACCTTACCAACCCAGTGTCCAAAAGTAACTGACACATAGTCTTTCTACAAGCTTTGGAAGTCATGGGATTGGTCGTGCAACAGCACACTTTATACTCTTAAAAACATAGCAGTAGCACCACATCCAACGCCGCTGCCAGTTGCACGACATCCAATAAATCAGTGCAGTTGCACGACGTCCAGAGCTCCTGCATACGATGAAACACAAAGCATCAAACTTTAGTCATCTGGTGATGAATGTCTGCAGCTAACATATCTCAATAATTAAAAAATGTTAAAACACGGCAAAGCGTACATATCAGCTACACAGCTGCAAATGGCGTCATTCTGTTCACCAATAATGCCAGTAAGCAGTTTTTTTGCGGCCCACACGCAAACTACGGAGCTATCAACGGCACTTACTTAAGAAATTACCCACATAATTTTTGCCAATAATATTATATTTTTACCTTTGAATATGATTATTAAATTTGGATGTGGTAATAAAGCTTTTGATTGTATAAGAATAAAATATAAATGTAATTTACCCGTTGAAATTAAAACCTCTAGCATAGGTTTTTCATCCACTAAACTATAATTTACCATTCCAAGCACTGTTGTTTCCTTTTTTCTCTGAAGATACAAGAGTTGTGATGGCAGGGTACATGGACAGAGAGACCACAAAACAGAAAAACACAGAGAACCCGTGGACCCAGATCTGCAAAGAGAGACGACAAAGATGGATGAGACAACTCTGTGAATAGAATTAACCTACAGTAATAATACTATGGATTAGAGGTGTACGAGCTGCTCCAAATTAGAACTGATCCTACCTTAAAAGTTAGAGTGACTAAGCCTGAGCCAAGGTTTTATATTCCTGTGAAAATATCCCGAGAGCAGAAAGCGTCTCTGAAGGTTGTACGACAAAAAATGTGCAACTTCATCATGATAGCAGGATATGATTTTACTGAGATTACTGTAGTTGTCCCCTTTCATTTACCCCTTTGAGATGACTTTTACAATTTCGCTGCAACCGCAGGAGACGTCTACAATTTTACTGTGACTGCGGGATACGTTTAAACTGCCATTTCGATTAAAGGATAATAACGATAAAGCCATCATTCTGTCAAAATAAAATTGAGCTTAGCTTACTTTTAGCATACAGTGTCAAGATCCTTTAAACCGTGAACATATTGCTTTATAAAATAAAACATGTGAAAATTTAACAGGTTTAGTACCAGAAACAGTCTGAACACTATAAACCTAAAGGCTGAGCTATATAAAGTTGTGTTGTCGACATTATTAAAATATTTATTGGAATAAGTTGTAGATGATCTGATAGTAAAGCAGTTACTTAACTTAAAATCATGCAGACGGTGAATTCCCCCCTTTTTCCCCTTAGTCAAACCAGAAATTATTTTTGGGCCAAGCTCAAGTTCGGTCATTTAGATTAAAGGTGAGCAAGTCAAGCTTATTTTTGCGACATTATAAACAAATTCTAGATTTGGTCACAATTGCAGGATGTGTTTACAATTTTACTGTAAATGAAGGGACGGACAAGACTTAACTGTATCACTGGAGACGATCATGACTACACTGCAAATCATGGGAAATGGTGTACAATATTTTAATAACTGAAAGTACTTAGTAAAAGAGTAAAACCATCAATATAGATGGTTGATGGTACGCCTCTAAGCATTAGTTTTAATTTATTTGACACTATTCATGTATAACCAATAACCATGTATACTATGAATAAAGATTCTTGACTATGACTATGACTATATTTTAATCACACCCTACAAAGGATCTGATTTCGTCCTGAGACCAGAACATCAATTTCTTTTACCCGACCAGAAGTATAAAAGTCTAGACCCCTAAGTAAATATGTTGTTTTCCATACCTTTTTCAGTATGCCAGTGTACGATATATTGCGGACGATTGGTGGTTGATTGACAGGAGCGTATTCAACTGCTTCCATCATGTAGTACTTGAAAAACATCTGGAACACAGCAACTTATGTGGTAACATTATTTGTTTTACTAATTTAAACTATTGGAAATTCGCTTAGTCAGCACGTTTGCTGCGGCGGGGGTATTGTGGATGTTTCCTTTCGTTGGATAGTTGACACAGCCACACAAGCATTGTTGTTTTCTTTAGTTTTTTGTGAATTTCCCAAATAAGTAATAAGATATCACCGAGGTCCCTATTATCCTCATTAATGAGGTCTACAGAGGCCAAAAACACAATTAGTTCAAATTCATATGTATACTAGTGTACCTGTTGCTCGAATTCGAGCAATTGCGAAACATTACAGGCGACTCAAAGATTATGAAAATACTCACGATCTACACAACAGTTAGATATAATCAAAATCTTTTGTAAATATCTTATCTTTTTTCAAAAAGCTGATCTTGTTTTTTTATTGTTTTTAGTGTAAAAAAAAATTATTTCTATTTCTTCTACTTGGTTCTGTTCTATGACTTTTTCTATGTTTCCATTGTTTGCAAATCGGTATTTCAATGATTGCTCAAGAAATGTAGCACAGTGTTAATTCAGTTTTATTTTTAGCCTATATCAAATTGTCCAGGATTTCTCGCTCTTTTCCATTGTAATAATTACATTAACCCAAGTTTTGTCTACATATGCAATATGCCAAAGAATATCACCTACGCACAATCTCCAAGAAGTGGTAAAAAAGGCAGAAACCAACCCATACAAGAGATATAAGTTAACTCCATAAGAAATAATTTTAAAAGTTACTGTGATATTAGGATTTTCCACTGATTTGGTAATAGAACATTATGCAAAACATGACACGATGCAGAAGGAAACCAATTTTAAAATCAGAAAAACCCATTGCAAATACTGTACTTCATTTTGACAAATTCAATAAATCACAATTTAAATATAACAGCTGGTTCATTAAAAGTAGTGTAAAATTATCCATATGCTCGAAATGTAAACAAAATTGCAGTGAACTTTAAAGGGCTCTGGGGCGGAGCCCCAAGGAAATTTACCTCGTTTCTCTTTTGAGGGCTCACCTACAGACCAATACCTTTCTTTAGACACCCCTACCAAGTTTCTACGTCCAGCCGTTCTCTCAAATTAGCTGTGACAAAAACCTCGTTTTCCTCCATAAGAATAACATGGGATGGGAATTTAAAGGCCACTGGGGCAGAGCCCCGAGGGAATTCTCCATGTTTCTCTTTTGATGGCTCATCTACAGACCAGGACCTTTCTTTAGACACCTCTACCGAGTTTCTACGCCCAGCCGTTCTCTCAAAATAGCTGTGACAAAGAAAAACAGTTTCAAATTAATATATAGATAATAATGTCCGTTAGCCAGTATCTCGAGCAAAAATGATCCGATTGTGCTAAGATTTTCTACAAGCGTGTAAACCTGCGTTTATTTAAACAAGTTACAAGTCTGTACCGAACCTGATCAGACAATGGGAATAGGGGATTAAACTAAAACTACAACTTCGGACTAAACTAGCAAATTACAAAAAATAATAGGCTACAGAACAAAAGGGAAGAGAACAGTCGGATTAATATTGTTGTGCATAATATAATTTACTAGAAAATGAATAACTTATAGGGTTGTCGGTGTTAGGTTAATGCACCTTTGACTTTAAATACCTCAAGTAGCCATTTCATTTATGTGAGCCAAATACATTATTGTCCCATTGTCGTGAACCGGACAAGTTTTTGGTCCGGGGTTTTCATAATTGGACTCGTGAAGCCAATTTTTTACGCTCGGGCTTATCCCTGTCATAATTGGGTGAAGTTTATCTGTCTGCGCCCGAGCGCGGATAACCTTGTACTCGTGAACCCGATTTCTAAGAGAACTGGAAACCATGAGATGTACACTTGATCGTATGAATACATTAGCCTTAATACATTTCATTGTGGATAAAATTAGACATTCAATTCAAGTTGCAGCCAGTTTTAGAATAAAAACTAAAACATTTGAAATTTGCCACCAAAATAGAAGATTGATATAAATTACTGTGCCTATCAACCAAACCCTAACCAAACCTATTGCTTTGTGTGTTTTACAAAGCCAACTTTTCACAGTTTAACTAAATTTAGTTAGGAAATAGAATTTTTAACACACATTTGCATATTTTGGGAATGTGCAGACTATGTTCCTTTTTAAATAAAAAATAGGTTACGGTACTGCTGGTCCATGTAGAAGGGTTGTCTACTTCAGTATCCAAAAATCAATGGTGCTTTCTCATTCACTGTTAAAGCTACATTTGTAACTATAACTAAGTTTTTTTCCTAAATGGGCATGCAATGTAATTTTGAAATTATTTATTAGATCTATGCACATTACTCACAGTCCTACTGAGCAGAACGTAAGCCAGCATGGCGAAGAAGATAAAGACATCAGCCATTACGAAGTACACAAGAGCACTGCGGACAGCTGATGCGCCTACCCACAATGCAACGATGTTGGCCAATGCTGCCACCACACCACCCAGTGCCTGGCCAGAGACTACAGCTGTAATGTAGCGGGACGGGAACCTTCCAACCACACCAAACAGTCCGCTCTGAAGCACTGCACTTGCAACTAGGACAAAACAGTGTGGTTGATGTTGAATACGTGAGAAAATATGTAAGCACACAGCATTTTTGTACTTTGAACATTAGCTACAACTGTCTCATTGGAAGTTCTTCTTTCAGTGTACTGCGGCTTAATATTCCCATGTCTAGTTTATGTTATGCCTGTTTGGAAATCTGAAAACACATGCACCTTGTTCTTTTTTTAAATGCAAAAATTATATTTGTTGTATTGTATTTGTATTTATTCCTTTCAAAAGACGATCTTTTAAGGAATCATTCAGGTCAGCTGCTATTTTGACTCTTCCTTTACTATACGTCCTTGAGACCCTTTCTTTTGTAAATCAGTCAGTACTTAACACCAACACTGACTTCAGTACATACTCCTTACGCACATGATAGAACTTAAAAATTTCTGTCCATTCAACTTCTTTTTTTTACATCACCTTTTGTGAAATGGAATAACAATTTTTAACCAACTTCCTCAACATCTATCTAACTAAAGCTGGAGACTGAGGAAAAACTTAAAAACATATTAAGTAGTTGAAAAGGCTTGATACAGAGCTTGTGATTTTTCCTATGACATGTAGTCAGTGATTTATGTTAGATTTTACTAAAAAGTCAAATTGTTTTAGTATGCAGTCTTTTGTATATTTAATTTTTGTATTGTGACTATTCCAATTCAATGCATTTTTGAATAGAGAACTTATAGCTTGATGTTGAGAAAGTTGTGTTATCGCATCGGTACAAATTAAAAAAATAATACTCACTATTTAGAAGTACAACAATTCCCATGGTCATCAGGAAGAACTTGTCTTGCCCTAGAAACAAATTTTAAAATACATTAGGTTAAAACTATAGCTAAATAACTAAATCAATTTTAGCAATCTATTATATTGTTAAAGTGATACAATCAAATTTTATGTAAACGGTTAAGGTCATTTACCAAATAAGAATATAGGCATATGACACATCAAAATGAAGCTCAGAGTGTGTAGATTTGCCGAAAAGTATTGATATGGGCGAATTTCCTAAGGGCTCTGCCCCACAGGATAATTTCCAAAAGGAAATCACCCTTTACCCCTGGCATGGTTCCAATGTTCAAGTGATATAATTTAATTTGGTTAATGAAACAGCTGGTCAGTTTGTTTGTTTTTTTACTCGAAAAATATGTTTGTGACACTTTATGTAGATTGAGGAGGGTTATGTTTGGTTTTAAAGTGAGGTTGTATACGTTTTGTAAAGAATTGCTCAAAGTTTCATTTTTTAATTTATATAGTAAGCTACATGTGAAGAGGCTTGACTAAAATTGAAGAATTATGGTAAAACATGTCTCCTGAAACATCAATATGAATCAATTGATGCTAATTGCTGCACTAAGAGGTAGTTGTCATATTCTTATGGATCTATTAACATCAAAAGTAGGGGTTTGAAAGTAAGTAGGTTTACGCTTTTAAATCAGTTTATATTTTAAAACTAAATCATAGAGTTGCTGAATTTTAAAACACACATCAGCACCACTTTAATAGCGCTCTAGGTCACATTTTCTTCCCGTTGCAAAGCACGGGTATAGCAGCTTGTCAGTCTTTATTTCAGTAGGTTTAGTTTTGGAAACAAAAATTAAGTAGGCCTAGGTTCCTAAAAAAATATGGATCAACCACAAAAAATTAAAAATTATTTTTCTTCAAACTTCTCACCATGTCCTTCAGATCCGCTTCAATTTCATCTTTAGATTGTTCAATTGTCCACTTGTATGTGTTTCATTCGCTTACAAACACAATGAGCTTTTTTATACTTAGCCTTGTAAAAAACAAGTGGTACACTCAAAGAACTGTTCATCTTACCCTTTTCCGAATATACCCATATTAGTGCTGTACTTCCAGAAGTATTTTAGCAAACTTCCCTTAGGAACTTCTTTTCCTATAGAAGGGTCTGCGATGCGGATTTTCTGAGTTTAAAGCAAAAATTCACAGCGTTGTTCGACGGTACGCTCTATGGTGGTGTGACACACAATGAAAAAACACTTATTACCTTATTACCGTATTACCGGTTCTTCATCTTTTACCCCATGGGAGATTGATGGCGTCATTAAATAACATGAAAACACTTTACTAAAATATATACATTATTTACAAATTTCAAAAAACATATTTTTAACACTGAGGCTGTGGACAGGCGTAAGTCAGCCCAGGCCTAATAGAGGGTCATCAAAATACTCCTTCAGCGAGTAGTAGGCTTTTCCTTTAAAGTATGCAGTGAGTACCTTAAGGAGTTCCCTTTTGTCGAGAAGTACGATGGAGTTTAGCAACTTATTATATATTGTTAGGGCTCCATTACTAAAGGCCTTCTTAGTCCTTGATAGTCTAACTCTAGGAACATCTAGTTGGTTGCGATGCCTAGTAAGGTGGTGATGTTTTGCAGCTCTGGAAGGAAACTCCTCAATATTATCTAGTACATACTTTATACAGGCGAGGATATAGTGACCAAACACTGTAAAAAAAGATAAACTTGCAAAAAAAAAAAAAGAAAAGATAGGCTTGCAGTGAGCCAGACGATCGCTGAAGGTGATTATTCGTAGAGCTCTCTTTTGCTGGACCAGGATGTCTTCGGTCGTGGGTGCGTGTCCCCACAACAGCAGACCATAGCTCACAAGGCAATGATAGACATTCACCAGGTATTTCTCCGTGACCAGATACCTAAGTTTCAGGAGCAGGCTGCATACCCTTGACAGCTTATTGCAGACCTGATCTACGTGGTCATTCCAGGTTAGCTTCTGGTCCAGGGTAAAACCTAGCAGCTTCACCGGATCATTGTGAGGAGCATGTTTAGCCAGACTGTAGACAAGAGATTGTGTCTTGGATTGGTTAAGCTGGAAGCCATTGGCCTCAAACCAGTTTGAAGCTTCAATTAAGTGCTGTTCAGCTCCCGCTACAGACTGTTCAACCTGCAGTCCTCGTGACACAATGGTGGTGTCGTCAGCAAATAATACAATATTTCCTGACTTGTCGAGGTTGTTTATCATAACTAGGAAAAGAATCGGCCCAATTACCGATCCTTGTGGAACTCCATATGCTACTTCTAGAGGTGCTGAAGTTGCCCCCTCGATAGAGACGACCTGTTGCCTACCCGCGAGATATGATCCAATTGTTCCGAGAACAGTGCCACCCACTCCATAACTCTCCAACTTCCTGACCAGTATGGCATGGTCGACGCAATCAAATACATGACTTAGGTCGCACAATGTGAGGGTGACTGTGTGGCAAGCCTCAAATGCCTCACCAATCAAACCTGCAAGCCTCATGACCGCTCCTGTTGTAGACCGGCCTTTACGAAATCCAAATTTATCTTCCGTCAGTAGGTTGTTAGACTCTAGGTGTTCACAAAGCTGCCTGGTCATTAGAGCCTCTAAGACTTTACCGAAGATTGGTAGAATAGAAACGAGCCTATAGCTGTCCAATCTATCTCGCTCACCCTTCTTGTAGATGGGGACGGTTCTGGCAATTTTCATGCTGGGGGGGAAACCCCTCTCCAAAATGTTGTTCAGGACTAGCGATAGCGGTTGAGAGATTTGTCCTATGACATGTTTTAACCAAGTTGTGGACATTCCGTAGAAGTCAGGGCTGTTTGAGTTTTTGAAACCAGCCACAATTTTCTCTATCTCGGTTGAAGACTCAGCGCAAATATTAACATCCAGTCACAACGATGCCTAAAAGCAACTGAACCAAAGTACTCCTGAATGGTGAAGGACCCCTCTATCGAACCCAACCGGTCAAACCCCCCTCCACTGTTCTTTTGAGGCTAAGGTATCAAAAGTATTATTCTGTATCAAAAATCAAATACAAAAACAAAAACCTAGGTAATGTTTTTACACAGGACTTAAAAATGTTACTCTGCTCACTTTTACCATTCATTGAAGTTAAAAAAATAGTACCACACAGTACTCTTTGTCTTATTTATAGTATAAAATTTTCATCAGTCATTCTAAAATTTATTTAATACACACAAAAAAACACAAGCAGCCGCACAGCACACGCATCTAGATGTCACTATTCACCCTACATTAAAATACCCCTGCCGTAACAAACCTGCAGACTAAGCAAATTTGAGGCTATAATTAATCAGTCTAGAATTATTTACAATAATAGACATAAGCCTCAATACATTTTTAAGCTTGCTTATGATATTATAAAAATAACACATCAATTAGGCCCACCAATTGTGTTAAGTTATGTATGCCACATCAACCATATTCCTCAGATTTCATATCAAGTAAAACCCCAATTAGCCTAATCAAATTAATAAAAAGTCTAGAATTTGTAATCCTGTTAATCCCAGGGTTAAAAACCAATACTCAGGATTTTAAAGTAGCTAACATCAAAACCAGCCGGGATTTCAAGATTGAGACTCATAACTGTAGTAGCCTATTCAGGACACCTAATGAAATTTTATTTTCATAGGCTACATCCCTACTTTGATTTATCTCTTTGTAGGCCTATTTTTTTCTCTCAAATAACTACACAGAAAAACTAGAATACTCACATGCATCAGTGTTTATTTCAACAAACACCGTCGTCACAATGAATAAAATCAACATGAGGGCTAGGGATCCCACCATCCGAATGCATAAAGGTATCCTGAAATAAATTTGAAACACTATAGTTGGAAAAGAGAAACTAGGGATTTTGGAGGTGGTGGATTTTTGTTGGTTAGACAACACCTAAATAGCACAAGGTCTTACTAAAAAATATCACAAAAACTTGAACCAGTCAAACCTTGGATTAAATATTTTGCCTTTTCAAATGAATTTTTGGTAAGCCTATAAAACAATTTTGAGTACAACCGTGAATCATAAAAATATTTTCTCAGGATACAGATTTTTTTTTAAACAGGAATTCACAAGGCTATAGGCTAATTAATTGTTTCATTTAGCCCAAATGTATTATGCAATTTAACAAAAACTTGTTTACAGCAGGCTATTAATAACCAGTTATAGGAAATGAATACAAAACTAGAAGCACAATGCCTTTGTAAAAAATTTAGTCTAAGAATATTTTAATTTAAGATAGTTCCTGCAGCGGCGGCTATATAGGTAGACTATTGTGAGTGTGCGGCTAAGTCAGCTGACTGAGTGAGACAAAGAATCAGCTTAGGAGTGGGAGAGAGATAGAGTAGCACAGCCGCCACGCGAGCGATCATAGTGGTGGCTGTGCGAAACTCATTTTTGCGGCAAAATTGCAGTCTGACTATTCTCCATAAGCATTTTGCTTCTTAACGGGTTTGTATTCATTGTTATAGGCTTATTCAAGGCCTCATCATGGTTCATATTCCAAAAAAAATTTGTTTCATAGTTTTTTTAAGCCTTTTTGCCAAACAGAGGTTTCATCAACTAAGCTAGACCAAGTGAATGAACTTACTTATGGCTACACATGGGATTGATGACTAAGAACACAGTACTTGGTACAGTGGAAGCAATACTGATGTAGGGAGTAAATGAAGCTTCTAAGTCTATGTTGAGGTCCGTACCGATGATCGATGTAAGATTGTTTGAGATAGGCCGAAACTTGTACTTCCAATACTGAAAACAGAAGAAGAAATATATAAATGCAATGGAGTAAAAAGGTAACACAACAGTACACACAGACTGATTAGGTAATCAATTTAATTTGACTCCATTATCTAAATGTAGGTATCCTAAAACAAACAGGTTGCAGCATATCATAGACTAGCGCAAAAACTAATAGTTATAGCTAGCCTACATTGCACGGTTCTCAACCTTGGAAAGCATAATCTTCTGGCAAATAATTCAAACTTACGATTCTAGGTAGAACTACTAAGGTAGTATTGACTGGGACGGTATGGCGTCGTCCTGTAATCCAGCTACTAGGAGGTCACGAATTGTGGATATTTATTGGCATGCACTGTGGATGCGATACTCCCTGTTGTGGATTAACGCCCGCAGTAGTGAGTACTATGACTATCCGCAGTAGGCCTACTATCCTGATAATTAGACCTATTCGTTAATTTTTTCAAGGCAAAACGTGGTTCGGATTCCACTATAAACTGTAGGTCCCTTAGTTGCCATTAGCTGTATGGGCTATTAATTAACAGCTATGTCTAAGGAATATGTTGGCCTTAGTCACTAACAAGACTACAAGATCCCGCCACTCATCCTACACCCATCACCATTCATACTTGGCTTATAATACCTACATTGTATGGTCGCAATTTCAATAAAAAGTATTCAAGTAAAAATATATTAAAAGTACTTACCTCGGCTGCAGTGATGAAGAAAAACCATGGAAGTAGAACTGTGGTCCCGAGAAAGTAAAATATTATGTAGGCCAGATTGAACCTAAAAAAAAAAGAAAAAAATCAAATAAGAAAAATAAGTAAGAGATGGAGATAACAGCAGAAAATAAGATGAAAGTTTAAGTTATGAGTAAAATCTAAAATAAATTACTTTATTACTTTAAGTAAATTACTTTGGGTAGGCATGTGATGCTCAATATCTTTACACCAACTACAAGAGCTTCCTATATGTTATCAACCAGCTCTAGTCGCAACCAAGCGACCAATATGTCAAAACCTTGAGCTTAATTGTCGTGTTCTTCACTTCCCTGGAACGAGCTTAAGTTACCATTCTAACCGATTCAACACCAAAATTAATTCAACAATCAGTCTTGTCCTAGAAGCAGTATTATACAGCAATGTCAGTAAAAATCAGTAGGCCTACTCCCATAAAATATGTGAATTGCATTTCGGTGGGATTTGAAACTCCTATTAAAATAAATGCATTGGCAAATAACAGACATGTAAGTGGACAAAATAATAGACACACTTATGGACAAAAGTGTGTGGACGTATACAATTTCAAACATGCCTCAATGGTTTAGGGAGTTTGCAAAAGGCCCCGCACATTTGTGATGGCTATGGTTACAGGCGCCCATCATAACTTATGTACCGTATGTAGTTATTGAGGGTTGGTAAAAATGTAGATACCCAACTCAACCTAAACCTGAAAGGTAGTAGGTAGGTCCTGAAGAGTAGTACACACTAAAAAGACAAGGTCATAAGCCAAACTTTGATAGTCCCAGCAATCTACTACAAGTGCAAAATTCTAAAAAAGATTAGGTCTAAAGGCTGGTTGGTCTACACGCAAGGATTTCTCGTTCGTTTCACCTGTGCAGGTATAGGCTAACGTTGCAATCAAGTTGTTGCGTGTGGACAGTAAAACTGTGCATTTTGGAGAACTGCACGCATTTTGGAGACAGAAGATTGAGGGATAAGACTATTGAGGAGAGCATTGTTTTGACTTTTTCAGACAAGACGTTGCGTGTGTACAGTTTTATCCGTTTCAACTCCGGCTTCACACTTAACTCTCCAGTCTCCAGTGTTGTCTTCACGTGCTCAGAGGGATAAGTGTTTTTATAAGATGGCAGATCTTCGCCAATGTTCCTGGAGTTTATTGTCAAATTCATCGAACTGCAAAGAGGATTTCCTTGTTTAAAGAAAGGTAAGGAGTAAGTTAGGCCTATTGTGACCGTGATAAGATTAATCAGACTTAAGAGTCTTGTTGAAAAAATACAATGTAGTAAGTTACATTCAAATGTGAACAGAGAAAAGATTAAGAAAGTGTTTGTCTTTTTAGTAAGTAATCAACGTATTGACCATAGTGAGTGAGCGTCGTCTTTGCTCAGACTTATTTCTTTGCTTTCTTGCAACTCTGACTGCAGAAATTGACCACAATAACACATCTTCCATCCGTGTATGAGCACGTAATATCATGGAACTCCAGGAACCAATAACAAATTGGTGCTGACACCTGTACTGTGTCGACGCATGTCTTTGCTATGACTTGACTGCATTGTTTTACCTGCGCGGATAAGTCCACGAAATCCTTGTGTGGGGTAGACTTCCGTATCTGTTGGTACAAACAACCGAATGAAAATATTGATCAATATATCGATTATTCGATATATCGTTTGGTTAGTTAGGTGAGGTTAACCTAACCTAACCTAACTAAGTTAAACAAACGATATATCAAATGAAACAATTGAATAATCAATATTTTCATTCGGTTGTTTGTGTCAACAGATACAGAAGTCTACCCCTTGCGTGTAGACCGGCCTTAATAATAAACTAGCAAGGTAACTGAATAAAATCAGTCTTACACCTATCAGCTTGCATTTTGGCTTACCTGTCACTTGGTTCTCTTGCTTTAAAAATTGGTTTGGTGTCTTTGGCTAGAACCACAACCTCGTCTTCAAAATTATCTGGGGATCTGTCAATTTGTAAATCATCTTCAAAATCACTGTCAGTTTCACTTTGTTGTAGGAGTGGTCTAGTATTTGTGGCTGTGTCCATTATTAAGGATATGCTGCTGAACTTTCAAAAGGGGTAGCAAGAAGTTTTAAAGAAACTTGATCATATACTTAACTTACGTCATTTGAATCCAGAGTTGAACAAAGGAGCCCATCAAAATGATTGTGGTGCTTACCTATAGGCTAAGTTATGTGAAGAGACGACTAAATGATAACTTACTAATAATTAATAATTGTTAATTAGAAAATTATAAAGACGTCAGTTAAAGTTGTTGCTATATCTAACGTAATATTTTTATTTCAGTGCCACATAATTACATAACAAAAACAAACACAGCCATGTCACAAAACAATAAGCTTAGTTTGACGTTTGTGCTTGGTACAGGTATTTATTTAGACAATTTGACATTTACAAAGATCTTGTGTTTTCTTTTCTTTGTTCCCGTCCGATACCAGCTGATTAATTGAAACAGCTGTTACTGTATATCTTGGAGTATAGCCATATAGTAAACTAACAATTAATTAGTTGCACTTATTCAGACCATTGATTTTTTACTTTAAACATGTAAGTGGATCGAACCATTGTTTATTTATATTATTACACCTATTAACAAAATACGTTGTGTAAATTAAGTATTAAAAAAAATCTGAATTTTTGTAAACCGAAATAGATAGAAATATTCTGTTTGTGGCAATAATTGTTAACAAAGGTTCCGCAATTTTTTACATTAAAAATATTTTTAACCCGCCTAACAGATATCAAATTTGGAATACCTTCCATTTTGGCTAGGGGTGATATATTCACCTCGGCTTTGCTTCATTGTGTTTCTTTTGACAAATCCTTCAAAATGAGGGGTCACTCAGGGGTTGCTATTTGAAAAAAATAAGTCACCCCCTACTCCCTACCCTGTTAGGGGGGTTTAAAAATAGTTTTTATGTAAAAATTTGTGGAACCTTTCTTAACAACCACTGCCACAAACCAAATTATCTATTTCGGTTTTAAAAAATACAGATTTGTTTAAATACTTAATTTACACACTGTATAATGGTCCAATAATAGTCGACTTTTCCATGACTTTTAATCCTATCATATCTGATGAGTTTACGAACCAAGCATGTTTACCAGATCACAAGCTATTTTTATTCAAAACTTTAATTAGGCATTTTTTGGTTAAAATAGTTTTCAAAATTAGTTCAATAACATGAAAGAAGTCATGAACAAAAGGACTCTACATAATCCTGTAGGAACCAACATTCAACATTCGAATTGCAACCAAAATACAGTAGGCCAAGCATAAAGAATAAGTAATATAAGCTTTCAGGTTATAATGCGCCTAATGGTTACGGAGAAAATTCTAAAAAATTGTAAATTTAAAATTCCCATGTTGTTCTTATGGAGAATAAGTAAACTGTTGTAGTTTGCTTGTTTAATAACATTTTGCCCAAATTTAAAAAATGTTTTTATTTCTTACTAACTACCCTCCCTGTTGCAGCAAACCTAAGTAGGTATGTGTTAAACTGATTCTATTTAAATAAGGAATAATTTTGATATTTTTAAGGAGACATTTTAGTGTAAATCCAATCAGGAAGATGGAAATTCGCTTAGTCTGCAGGTTTGCTGCGGTGGGGGTATTTTTTTTTATTTACGAAAGATTGGTTACTGTACTATGACAATATTAACTCCGCTTAAAAATCTACAGATATAGATTTTTAACTCGTATTTGTTTCGGTTTTCAATTCTGTATGTTTTATTTTCAATATTTTAATAAATTTATGTTCATAAATTTAAATTTAAATCAATAAAGTGCGAATTAATGAGCTGATGTCGCCTGTCTGCCATGTTATCTTATTGGACGTCTGTCACTAAACAGCACCACTTGCGATGTTGCCAATCCTACCAGGCCGTGGCCTGTATAGTTAAAGGTGGTCGTGGTTCTTACCACTATTCTCAAAGTCTGTGTTTTTCTTGACTTGCTAGTCCTAACTTCGCCTTTAAACAAAGACATTTTTCATTTAATTTAATTTGTTCTCAACTATCATAACGTCGATGTTTCGGGGTTAAACAAACATGGATTCAATCCATGTTTTTTTTTTTTAGTTTTCCGTCTGCTCTTTGTACCGCAACCCGCAAAAGCCAATTAACCTTAAACTACTTTTCAGTCATGTAAAGTAAAACATCGATTGTTCAATATTCGGCCAAAAACATCGATGTTCGACGAAAACATCGATGTAATGAAAACTTTGGTAATCCACCGGAGAGCATACCATCGAAATAAAAACATCGAACATAAATTGAAAAATAACATCGATCGATGTTTTAAAAACATCCACTATCAATGATCATCACTATTTTGGTATTATTAATTTTTATTACCCTACTCACCTACTATATGTTATGTAACTAAAAAGACTATGTTAAAGGAATTGAGATACCTACTTGATAGTTTCTGAATCAAACGAGTGTTTGAAAGAAAGCTCCCAGTTTCTATTAAAAATAATGTTTTGTAATTTTTTTTTATTTATTTGAAAAATCACAAAATCTTTCAACATTTTATAAACAAAGCTTGCTGCAAAAGCCAGGAAAATTTGGCTTGTCTGCAGCTCATAGAGATAAACTTGTTCTAGATAACAAACCTTTACCTACTAGGTACTAGCATTGACTATTGGATACTGAAGGATTGGATATTGACTCTTGTATTAAATAGTCAAAGGTACTATTTTAGATTTATTTTGATTCTTTAGCACAGGGTTCTCCAAACTACACGGTTGGCATGAGCGATGTGTAGGCCTATATGATCTTAGCCATATTTGCCAATATATTTCTCTGTCTATAGCCTATCTTAAACAATATTGCATAGTCTTAGATTGTAAAGCTTTCAGATTTTTTTTTTTTTAACCAACAGGAAAATAATAACTCAAAATTAGACCAACCCGAAAAAAGAGTTTTGCACTTAAACCCCAAATTATTAAACTTGATCTTCGTCAACGTGCATAAAATGTCGACTTTGCAAGTAGTCTTACAAAAATTGCCAAGGGAGGACCCCAGGTCCCACTGTACCCTTCTTACCTTGGGCTTGTGAGGTATTCTATAACCCTCCGGTAATTTTCACCTTAAGGCTCGGTAAAGGTAAAGCTACGATACAAGCGGTAAAGGGGCAACTCAAGAGCATGGTAGTGGCTAGCATAGAGTGGTGTTCAGTCATGAAAATGACATCACCAAGCTAGTTGGTTGGTGAAAATGCTAAATTTTGGATTCTTGGATCACAATCTTGGTTCCAGGTGCTTTCCGTATCGCTCCACACAAACATTATTGTCAACAACTCTGCCACTTTTGACCCAGGACTAATCCTTTATCCATTACTTGGCATAATAAATACCGTTTAAAATTGATAACTAACACAGGGCAAGGAAAATAATCAAACCATGTTTAACTACAAATCAATATATTTGTACACAGCTGTTAAGGCAGTGAATAAAAATTGTACAGCAATATATAATTTACAACATAAACAATAAGTTAAATAACATAAATAAAAATAGTGTAATATACTAAAAAGGAACAAAGGAGGTACAGTTGATTGATAATGAAAACGACACACACAAACTAGTCTACTCTCACAAAACACACAGGAATTGAAACAACCTTCATCATAATATATATCTTACTTGTGTATATGTATTTGAAATGAAATAACACAGTAGACATTCTAATTCTATTAGATATGATGAGATGATGAAATCGACTCATTGTCACTAACACAATAATCTGGATATTACAAATAAACTAATGTTGAATTAGTAAAATAAATATATATATATATGAAATAAATAAAAAATATACATTTTAGAACCATCAATGAGTATTATCTCGCAGGATTATTCTGGTTGTAGTAGGTTTAATACACTGTAGAGCACTACAGTACACGGTTTGAATTTTTTAGCCTAATCATTCATAAACTTAACATGTTTTCTATATGAAACAACAGGAGTCATAGTTGAACATGTTTATTTATGAGTATTTCACATTTGCTCCTTAGCAATATTTTACACCTCTCAATTTAACTGTTATTCAAATCACCCTCTTTACCTAAGAGACGTCTGTCCGGTGATTTACCCGCCAGCTGTTTACCACGTAAACATGGTCCTACAAAAAAGAACCTCCTGGCATTATTTAAGTGTTTATCGAGTTTAAATAAACTGTAAAATATTCACAAAGATCCAAACTATGCACTGGTTGAACTGAAACTTCGTAATTGTTTCTTTAAGTATTTACAAAATCATTTTGAAAATCCGTAAATCAGTCTATTTTACATGCGATTTTAACTTATAAATAATAGTTAAAATTATTTTTGCTCCACCCACTGCAAGCTCTGATATGTTAAGAGCACAACAAGCACACATTTAATGGAAACAATTAGTTTTAGAATGTTGATAGCTTGTACTGTAGAGGTATGTTCAGGAAATTAGCATGTTTAGATGTCATCTTGAATTGACCTGGTAAAACCCTCTTAAGTGTTTGAGTAAATTCAGGGATATGTCTATCTATAATTTTCACTTTGTTCACTTACAGATGAATAAGTAGCTTAGCGTCCAATGAAAATAGTTTAATATGTCATGGTATGTTCAAGTATGGACTAAAGTTCCCCACTGCTAAAGAAATCTAAATTTTAGGAGTCAATTTTCTCCTAAATTGCAAGGAAGTCTTATTTTGTCTTTAATAGTAATTGTATTCTTCATCATAGATTTTTACTAATTTAATTTGTTTGTATATTTTTTTGGAACAGAGTACTTTTGAGAACAGAGTGAGTAACACTAATGTCACATTTGATCATACATCTTAAACATACTTGGAATTAGTGCAATTTAATGACAATAGGTGAAATAAAAATGTATATTGTACAAAATGAAATCAACTTGTTACCGATATTTAATAATACATAAATCATTTTGACCTGTTCTTCCATAAACAAAACCGGTATGTTTGTTTGTGTAGGTAATTAAAACAAAAAAATAATTGTAGGCTACATCAAATTAATAGAGATAACTATTTTCAGTAACACTCTTTTAAACAAAAACCAACACATTTTTTGTGAAATAAACAAAACAACAAATTCTAAATAGTTACAAATGATTACAAATAAAAAGAATGATCAACATTATAAAAAGACAATTCTAAGATTAAAGTAATCTTGAGATTAAAATACTTAATATTTAAGTCTTTTAAAACTACTCTATATAGACACTCGAAGAGATCTGAAAGTTGCCCTGAAACAAGAAAAACAGGTGAAATTGTTATACTTACTACTTTTTGATGAGCAAAGTATTTAGGTTTCAGTTGGTTTAAAATTAAACAACAATGATAAATTGTATTACCCAAATTTTAAAGCCCTAATTCCCAAGACAAAAATGTTGATAAAAAGTTATAAAGAAATTCAAAATTACACCAAGACGCCTCTCCATGGTTTTGTTTCAAGGGATCCTTATCTTCTGCCATAAGATATGAATTGCAAATGCTTGTGTATATTATGTAAGCCTAATTGAAGTTTTACATGAATGAAATAAATAAGAAACACCTGTGCATTCTTAATAACATACATAATTGCATTGAAAACAAAAGACTGAGTAAAGCAGCAACCGCAATCGGGCTTTAAGGAAATCTTGCATTTTCAAAGAGTTAGCAAATTCCTCCGAAAGGTTTCATAATAAGACATTTGAACATAAGGTTTCCTGAGAGTTGGACCTACTCCATAGATACTTTTCTCATTTCATTACACATAAACACACACAGTTGAACTTACACAAAAACGGGCTTCTAGCTGGACTTGTGACCCATATGTTTTGCCCGTAAAAGTTTTGTCTTGGCACTATCTACATCTGAAACAAAACATAAGTTCTCTTTCAGAAAAATAAGGTATAATCTTTCATAAGGTATAAATAAAATTTGGAGGTAATATTTTTTTAGGGGTCTGCGGTACAGAAAATTTAAGGTCGGTACGGTTCGGTACGGTACACGGCTACCCGTATTTTTGCGGTTTTCTTCTCAGAACTGTATTCAAACCATTATTTTTAACTTTAACGAGGTGTTAGCCCGTCCTACGTACGGGAATTCAGTATTCAGTTAAAACCGTGTACAATTCAGATCAGCTAGTTTACACATAAAGACAAAGTTTCTTGCAGTTTTAATGTAAAAAATCATCTTGTAAACAAATGCTGTGTAACCAAATATGTTTTTATTCCATCATAGGCCTATACGATATGCATTTTAGATCCAATAATTTTACAATAAAACAGCAATTCTGCAATTTTTGCTATGTGAAAAGCGTTGAAGTGAGATTTGCAGCCGATTCGCACAGACGCACACTGATTATAAGTAGCCTTATAGTAGAGAGAGTAGGCTAATAGTCAATTGAGAAGTGTATAGACTTAGTCAACGATACCACCTTCCATAGCATACCTGCCTCTTCCATAATTATTATCACCACAATACAACTACTATACACAATTCCCAGTAGGTCTGAATAGAAACGACCTAAAATAAAACGATAATATCCAATAAAATTCACAGTACACATAAATCGTCACACCAATCCTTTATATCAATTTCACTGCATTAATTGCTTAATAAATAAGTGTAAACAAAGAAAAGTAAAAACAATAACAGTTTGTTTTGAAACAGCTGTTTGGTTCAAATAACATTCATTTGAAAAAAAAGAACCCACGATTACTAAAAGAACTGGTCACATGTAGCAGGAATATAAGAAGCAAACACGCTAGTAAAGCTAATGACGTAATTGTCAACTATGTATAATTTAATTAATCTGTCATCCTCTTACAGAAGAATTGAACGTATCAATGATTTGCATTACACATAGTATTATAAATAAGTCAACCCTAAGTATGTCTTTACATTTTTATCCAAATGCTGAATTTGTGACACAAAAGCTGAATGTTTACAGCTGTTATGTTAAGCAAATTATTTTATGCCAAAAGCTAGTTTAGAATTTTAGCGTCGGCTGCTAGACTTTTTAAAGATTAAAACTTAATTTCTAAAAATCTGGGACCATAAACTAAATTTATGGCTTCGACATTCCCTAGTTCTCAAAATTATCTTTATTTCAACACAAAAATCATGAAAATCCGTCGAGTGGTTGATTCAGAATCGTGAAATAAAAAAACACTGTTTCGTTTTAATATTATAGATACATTGACATTACTATGAAAATAGTAATAGTAGAAAATAGTATCCTACATTCATGGTTTTCTAACAACAATTACTGTACCACACACTATTAAAACGAAACCTTTTACTACTATGAGGATTGTGTCAAGAAAAATCACAGTTAAGATAAAGGCTTTACCTATTTTACTCTGAGATACTTTGAATAGCCATGAACCGAACCGAATTTGTACTGTGTAAAATGCTGTACCGAATGACGGTAATTAAGCTTGTACCGTTACAGACTTTTTCGGTGCACCGCAGACCCCTAAATTTTTTTTACCATCTTTTAAATAGGAGAGGACAAGTTTCAAGAAAAGATTTTGGCACTAGAGACACAAAAAAAAAAAACCGCCAGGAACAATTCCTTTCAGAGTATCCGCAAGTAGGTATCAAAAGATTTCCTCACTAAGCATGCATTGCACACAAACAGAACATTTCTGTTCCTATTCTTTAGTTTCCTTTTGTGGCTGGTGTAGCCCAATCACCTCTAGCCAAAAGCTTGACGAGAAAGTACACAAAACACAGCAAAGCGGAATGTCAAGAGAAAATGTTGATTAAATATTTTTTTGAGGATTTAACAGCGGCATGTCTTGGACTTATTATCCTTCTATTCAAAAACACAGAAAGGATTCACAGGAAACTTTCCCATTTGTTCCTTTATGTGTCTTTCCCTGCCTAGTGTAGCCGAAGCTTTAGGTTCACTGTTTGGCCTAGAGGGCTAAAATAGTGTTACATAGAGGTTTTCCTTTCAGAGTATCGCCAAAATTTATCACAGCTCAAACTATATACTTCAAAAATAGGTTGAATAATTCTTTCTGTCCAACATTTAAGTTATATCTTAGAAAAGTACACTCTTTCTTCTTTACAATTGATTAATAAGACACAAAGTACTTGTCACCACCCTGAGCTAGTGTAGAATCTAGGATGCTCAGTCCTACAATTTATTCTTGGTTGATTTTGGTAGTGCTTTGGTAGTTTTGGTCTGAAGTATATTTCTCACTTACCAGGAGGTGAAGACATATGTCCGCTTGGGGGAGTTTTCCTTCGCCTTTTGAAGTCTCCAAGAGTATTGAGTCTTGAGAGGGGAAGTTGCTCCACCCTTACTGTGTTACTGAAAAAAAAACTTTTAAAGACCTTATTTTCTTTTAGTTTTATGTATGGTGTAAGTTTTTTGTGTTTCTTGTGCCAGTTAACTCTTTTTCTATTAAGGTTAGCCTGCTATTCTCTGCCGTATTATCTTTAAACATCAGTTCAGGAGGCAATCATAATGAATGCATAAATACCTGGTCTTGGTGAGGACAGGACAGGTGAGCCCTTTGCGAGACGGCTCAGAGAGTCTCATATTAAGAGAGTAAAGATCTGCTAGGTGACACAGCTGTTCTCGTTCTTTCTTCTGCATTGGATGAAGTCTAAAATATGACAAAAGTTGTCAAATGGATGCATATGTGTGGATGAAGGATGGAAATTTACATAGCTTTTCATGAAGTAATAAATACATCAGACTAACGTAAGTACAAGAAGAAAGCAAAAAAATAACATTAGTTTATCCATTAAAATAGGACATTGTTGATAAACATTGAAAAATATATAGCAAATTTCAATATTATGAATGTCACTGCATTTACTGAAAACAAAATAGTCACATGAATGTGTTTTTTATCTCTAAATATTTGTCAAGAGTTTTACATTTTCTAACTTCCTATAACAATCAGTCAATATATATGCAGTATATCTAATTGGTACAAACACAAAAGAGTATGTAAAGGACATAAATTTGATAAACTGTAAAAACTTACTAGTTATTAAATCCTCTGGTTGGTTAAAGATGTAAATTTGGAAGGCATGTGGGGAGGTTAGTGTGAGAGAGACAGAGAGACAGAAAACTTCCCTAACCACTCTTTTATTACTATAAATATGTATACTAAATTAGCATTTTTTAATAGCATAACAAACACTATAGTAGGGAAAGGGTTATAATGTGAGTGTGCATTTCGCTTGCCACTCTAAATGATTCAATCCAAAACTAGTTTCTTAACCCTAGGTTAAAAAGTTTATTGACATCCAAGCCTAAAGTTAAAAACATAGTACTACAGGAATATAAGATAAATATTTTAATATTTATACAAACGGACTGCTAATAAACTACAAAAAAAATACAACAATTACCGCAACTCTGACTGAGCAGGATCTTGTAGAAATTTTGACAGTTTCTCATTGGCAGATGTGAGAACACTGAAGCCAGGTTTCTCTGCTCTGACTCGTCGTCTTCCCCCTCTGATCTCCCTTCCTCCAGTTTTACCCTGCAAAACATTGCATAGCTCTAACTGTAATCACTACTCCTGAGACCCTGGTCTGATTACCAAATAATTAAAATAAAGTTTTATTATGTTTGTAAATAACCAAATACTGCCCGGCTACATGGCAAAACCATTTCCATCATCATCTAGATGACAACATGATCGCCTCCTGTGATTTTGAAAAAATCCGTGTTTATCTATTGCAATCACGGCATCACCCATGATAATCTCTCCAGATAGCGTTTTTTAATACCCAATAAACTAATGGAAGAAAAATAACTAAGGGAGTGCCGTTAATGAAAGGTCATCACTCGAGGGCTATTGAGAACTATTCATGATGTCATACAAACTGTAAAAACAATTCACAGGACTTATTCTATGACATAAGCCTAATTGAGCTGTATAGTAAGTATTTATCGACTAGCCAATGTCTATATTTTCTAAAATATCACATTTACAACCTTGTAAAATTAACAGTTGTCCGATCGACAAGATGGAACTGTTGCTTACCATGCGGTCGGCCAGAATGCGACTGATCTGCTTGGCTCGCTCAGACATATGCTCCAAATTACCAGACAAAATGGCCTGGAAGGTCGGTTCCATATCTTCATCTCTGTCAGAGTCGGCCCACCAACCCTTGGCTCCTACTGCCTCTCCGAACCAGTCACTCTGCTCATCATCACCTGTCAAAGACCAAGTTTACTAAAGTATTCACGGATTGCTTAAGAACTCATACCTATTGTTGTGTCGTTAAGTGAAACATTGTTAACAATAGGTAAATACAACAGCTTTTTCAGACATTAATAAGGAACAAACGGGTATAAATTAGTGATGGTCGGATCCGGATATAGGACCACCGGATTCCGAGCTAGAACCGGCACCCGATCGGATCCAACAAATTCCGGATCTTAGGCTTGATCCGGTTTTAATGGATACGATTTTTTTCTGATTTTTTTTACTAGCACAAAGCTGTCTGTATCCATGTACAAGACCGATTTTGTTTCATTTTTTTACTAACACAAAGCTGCCTGTATCCATGTACAAGACCGATTTTGTCCCGTTTTTTTACTAACACAAAGCTGTCTGTATCCATGTACAAGACCGATTTTGTTTCGATTTTTTACTAACACAAAGCTGTTTGTATCTATGTACAAGACAAATTTTTCCCTAAATTTTTTTACTAACACAAAGCTGTCTGTATCCATGTACAAGACCGATTTCAGTACTGTCCTTTTCCTGCCTATGCAGTCCGGTTAAACCGATTTGCTGATAAAAATTGTGAAAAAAGAGGTGTCACATCTACCGAGTGTAGTCCCGTTACATCGATATATGGTTAATGGGTGTTTGGTTAAAAGGGAGTGTACTATAATTACACCTTTTGTATAAACATGTACTGAATGGCAGACATAATTGACTCACCTTCCCGTCCCTCATCGTTGGTAAACACCCCAGTGTCACTCTCACTGCTACTCACGCTGCTACTGCTCGGTACTGGTGTGGCTGGTGTCACGGTGGCTGTGGCCGGTGCATCACGCAGACTCAGGCGGTGAAGCGCAGTTGTAGTGTCTTCCCTCGGTGCGGCAAACCCCAGCACTCTCGGACTCTCTGTTCGCACACTGCGTTTGCGTTTCCCGCAGTTAGCACTGGTCACACAGTACCTGCACAGGTGGTAAATTATCCATCTGCTGACCAAGTAAAATTAAAATCAACAAAATTTAGAGAAAGCCTTAGTTCTGGTTAAGGGTGGTTAGGAATGTATTTGGTTCAACTAGCTTAGCCTCCTTCTTAATAAAACCTCTAACAGCTGGTTGTTTAATGTCCGCAATAAACCTTTTAACAACATTAGCTTAAGCTATTTGAAAAAAAATCATTTTAGTTTCAGGTTACAGTAATATGAAACTTGGGAGATAATTTAATTAGGTACCAACATTTTATCTTAGAACGGAGGGGAGGGGGGAGGAAAGAGTAACGATTTAGTTTTCCTCAACACGCTTGGTGTCCTGTCCAAGACTTCTCTTTAAGGCCACGCTCCCCCTAACGGCAAGTTCGAATGCGACGCCAGCGCGCTCCTCAGCGGCGGTATCGGTTTGAAATAGAAAGCTGAGTCACAACTAAAGTAGTTCCCTCCGCACGGGCGACTGGCGGGAACCCACTGGGAACTGACTGAGTGATAACGCGACAGCGACAGGCGGACAGTGGTCCCTTGGTCCGTGTTATGTATGCCTTCTGCATCACTGATTCTCGATTCGATTCTCAATTATCCTATAGCTTTATTATTTTACCAAATTTGACTCGTCAATTCCAACACAGTAGTAAAGGAATGGCGCAAATAATCTTGACTACAGGGCTGTGTTTACTTATATTATAACAAATACCAGACTATGAAATATGGTCATAATATTTTTTAACAGCTTTTGTGTGATGAAAAATCCTATTTCGCGACTAGTAGTGAAATATACCATTACTAGATCCACTTACAATCAATTTAATTTGAAACTGTGACATGCCAGTACTCAATAGGCGTGTAGATTGTAGAATGTACATTGTCCAAGGACCTATATTATACGATTATTTTTGGCAATTTCTACAAGGTGCAACTGTTAATGATTAAACTTACAGTATAAACAAATTAAATAAACAAACTACTCAGGAATTTCGTAACATACTGTACACAAATTTGTTATAAGAGTGTGGGAAAATCATTTGTTAGGCTCAATCTATAATTGAAATTGTTATTTTAATATAAAAAATTGTATATACATATAAAAACATGTACACATATTTTACAAAGGGAACCTGATGGAAAGTTACGTTACCAGTGTTTTTCTTTTAGCTACGGTAAGGAATAATGCAAACACTAATTACGATTATAAAAACATTACTAATAATCAAAGACATAAATTTAATTTGCATAGTCTTTATTATCTAGGTGTAAGAAAAAAAATTTTCAATAAAATTTCATATTTAACAATTAAAGAACCATGTATATTGTACTGTAACTTCATTTCAATTAAATTTGATATTTCCATAATTCCAGGAGGATACAACTGTCAGAATAAAACAGTACAACACATAGACTATTAATTATACATTACCCACCAAACTGATCATTAAGCATTACAAAATATCTATATAACATAGAAAAAACTGTAAAGGGACATCTTAAAATTTCCATTTTTTACTGTAAATACTACAACGTTGCATTGAAAATTACAATAAATTTAATAAACGAGATTTGTTTTGAAATAAATTGACAATGATTTCATGAACAATGATTATTTACACACATGTCTTTCTAACAAAGGACCTAAATTGCATTTTTATTCTCTACTTTGACACATTTTAAGTTTCTTTGCTTTTTTGGAGAATTTTTCCCTCTTTGCCTCTAATATGTAAAGAGGTTCCCTGATCGTCATATTTCGTCGTCTTCTTGGGTCGATGATCTCTGGGAGCAAACAATTGAAGTAAAACCTTTCTAATTTTGAAACCATGTTTGTTTCCCAGAAATTCTCGTCTCTCACAACTTTCTCAACTCTGACTCCTAGAGGTGTCCAGAGCACCAGGAAACCGAACTGCCGTTGCGTTATCTGTAATTGTCCTTGGATTTGATAATGATAAGGATGTCGCTTGTTAACTGAGTACAGGTCTTTTGTTTTGTCGTATTGCCAAAAAGAACCTACCACGCCTTTTTTCTTCTCAACTACTTCATCGGGAGTCATATTTTTCCCAGTTAGAGGACATTTGACTTCTATTAGGGCATCTTCGCCGACCAGTCCATCAGGCGATGCAGCGAGCCACGGTCTTTGCCTGTCTATGAAGAGTCCGCATTTGGATACCGCACATCCTGTCAATGTTTCAAAACACTTTACTGCATCCGCTTCATGCGCCTGGCCGTACCTAGTAGCTGCACAGTCGACTTTAGAGTAGAGTAGCTTTTTTACAACTGGACCGCAACTGGAATCTTCCCTCCTATTACAAACTAGTCCAAAATTGGAAGCAGTGAGCCTCAGTCGTCTTTGTTCCAACCACAATGTGTTGTCTTTCTGATTCAATGTTAATCGTTCCAATTCTACTATCTCATTTTCAGTTTTCCTCAAATTTTCTAGATGCTCTTTAACTTTGGTTTCGTACAAAGCTTCATCAATGTCAGGTTTCTGTGCAAGAGGTCCGTAGTCTTTGTCTGGTCCTGCCGCTGCCAATACAAGTGATCGCCTGGCTTTTGGTTTTTTCCTACTCCTTTCCAAATCTTTCTCAGCTTTACGTTTGGCTCTGGCTTCATACAGTTTCGCGTAACCTCCCGGGCTTGATTTGGTTATTGACTTGTGAAGCTTGTAGAAAGGCTGTCGACTGTTGTATTTTACCACTGCTGCGGCACATCTGGTTTGATATCCATTGCGTTGAATTTGATTTGTTCTTTTGCCTCCTGTGTACATTGCTATAACGGAGTTGTACTGTTCGACACTGTTGCTATCAACGTCTTGGATAAGGTGGTAACTGTAGTCGGCTAAAGCATTTACAGCAATCATGATTTTTTGATACAAACCACATTTCTGCATGTCTTCAACTAGGTTCCTCTCTCCCTCTTTGGGAATGCCATCACAAAAATAACCTATTTCTCCGCACTTCTTATGTTCACCAAAGACGTGACTTGGAGAATTTATAATATCTTTTCTTAATTTGTCAGCCTTTGTTTGTAAGGACCCCTCTTCATTCTTCCTATGCTCTATCGCCTTCTTAACTCCCACACGACACCTTAATAACCGATTACCAAAAGCACGTCTCATCTTCATATAAAGTTCTTTGTTTGTATCGTCTCCGTTGTAGCTTGATGTTGCAATATCTTTGAGCTTGTTATTGAAATTCCGAAACAAATGGTTCCGACACTCAACCTTTTCTACTGTTAGCGTTTCATAAGGCCTGTACTCAAGAATTTTGGCATACACACTACTATCTCCGTCTGCTATAAATTTGCTATACTTAACACCATGCATTTCCTCGCTCATCAAAAATCCTTCTACGATTGCCATTGCTTCCATACTAGATGAACTTCCTGTCCAATTTTTAAAGCACGTGTGCTTTGGCACGGCGAAGTTCTCAAGCTGACCTGCTTTGTTTGCAGCGCGGGCACAAACGACGCAGTACTTATTCTTGACTCCGAAGTACAAGACCTTTCTGGTGTGGTAACCAACAATGGCAACCTGGAATAGAATACCGTGATCAGAATAAAATATTTTGGTCCCCAAACTATAGCAACATAACATTTTACCTGAAAACAGACAATTAGGGAAAATATTAATTTGAAAAAACTATCCGTGCCACATTATTTACAGCCATGACCACCAAAAACATTGTACTGTTTATGCCAACTTCCAAAATCTGATCACTTTTTGGGGGGACAGGCGTTTTTATAGTTGTACGTTGAATTGTGTTTGTATATTATAATAGGCTATAGCAAAATGTTATAAATATTTTGACAAAACTACTACATTTATGGATATATAAAAACACATTTAATTATGATACAGTAGGCTATTTACATTTGCCTTTGACCCTGGAGCGATGCCTATAAATATCGGTAAGTAGTTCTGATAAACCATTTATAGGCCTAAATAATGTAATTGAGCGGTCACTTTTATGCAATTCTTTGTACGCAAACTCCTCCTACACAGTTAGCGCTTAGTTACAAATTTTGTATTGTATTCAGCATTGTATTGATGAGTATTCCGGTGATGGCCAATATTTTGGCGAATTTCCCTATAGGGAAGTAGCTATAGCCCAGGCGCATATTGTGCAGCACAGCACAGGGCAGAATAGGCAAAATGTTGCACAGTTGACATCGCATATTGGGAAACAGTGTCGTACAGCTCTCGTAATAGGAGTGTTACAGTTTCTTGATATTAGGATTTGAGTTCTTGAGTCAGATTTAGGTGCTGATCACGATTTATTGTTACTTCTTCACAAGAGAACAAGAAAGAAAGGGCGAAAAAATTTGCTATGTTTAGTGATTTTCGTATTTTCTTCCAGATTCTATTCTTGTAATTACTCTTTATATACTAACTATGACTGGTAACGTAAAAACTGGATAAAAACGCACAATTTCTATTAGTTATCCTCAAGATCCGTCACAAAACACCAGGCAACCCAGCGCACGTGAGCAATGCGGCACAGACACTTGTGACTCGACCACAAGTGCGCGCAGTCCACAATCATATACACCTGGACCTGGACCTAGCGAACACGTAGTTTACAAAACACTGCCCTGCCCTGCCCTGCCCTGCGCTGCGCTGCTCCGACTGCGTCTCAACCGTGCCGGGTAATACATAAGCCCGGGACCGATTTACTTTTTCATTTTGCTGTCCTCAGAAGTGAAAAACGCCATTCGTCCAAATTTGTATACATGTATATATGTATAGATATTGTTAGAGTGTCCCGTAACTCTGGACACATGTATAATAGCGTTATTGCTTAGGTCACAAACACATTTCAACATGGTTCTGTGGTGCCTAGTTTTCCGTCTGCCTGTATTTATGTGATTTTACAAAATATTCAATAACTCATAAACGGTTTGAGATACAGCGTTGAGATTTTGCAAAACATGTTTATCTTATTGAGACCCTTTTTTTACAAACTTTACAAAAAAAAAATCCATCAACCGTTTTAAAATGGCGCTAATTTGAAATATTTTATGTCAATTTCACAAAAACCAATAACTTTCTAATAATTGCAAAAGACCAAAAAGTTAGTAAAATAGTAAACAGTTAAATGACCGCCATTTTAAAAAGGTTGATGATTTTTTTATAAAAAATATAAAAAAAATAGGTCTCAATGAGATAAAAAGTTTGCTAAATCTGAATGCTGTATTTCAAAGCACTTAGGAGTAAAATTAAATCTTTTGTAGTTAAATGTTAGCTTAGTTTTTTTTTTTTTATATTATATTTTGCCAATCACACATTTACTTTTGGGTAGCCATCACAAGCCCACACATCTAAATGTGACTTATATCAGGAGAATGAGGCGAACGAGCGCAGCGAGAAGTTATCATTCGTAAACACCACCTAATAATACACTTACCACGCCAGATAAAGAGTTGAAGTTGGTTCTGTACGATCTCTTCGACCAGCTCCCGTCGGCCACCACGGTAAGCAAGAGCACGCCTTCCTTGTCCACGTCGTTACGCTGTCGCGCGAGGGCTGCCTCTTCTTCTGCTGCAATCTTCATTTCTGCAAGGGCAGAATCTTCCCAGCCTTTGGAGATAACATGTTTGTACTTTTCGTAAGTATTGAACCCCATGCACCGAACGTTCATGGCCCCTAAAAACTTCGTTAAATTTGCAAAGCCACCTCCCGTGCTCATGGAACCAGCCACCGCTGCCGCCTTGATGTCCAATGACGATTCGTTGTTGGGGTCAGACCACACAGTTTCTTTAAAACCGCACATGTTGCACACAAATATAAAACCGGAACGTAGTCCACGCGATATTTATCTTGTAAGTGTCAAATTACTAAAAGAGCAACCAAACTGTGGGGCGTGATTGTTCAATTGCTTCAATTGTTCAAACAAGTAGGCTATATCAATAATTCGCCTTCCTTGAACCACTTCATGTTCATTACAATCGTCTTCTGGAACTTCTTCAATAACAAGGTCTTGAAGTGGAGTTTCATAGTCCGGCTCCGGGCTGCATAGAGCATCATTACAATGGCTCGAAGTGGTAGCACTGTCTGTGCTTTCATTTGTAATGGCAGTCAAAGGCAAGCAGTTATACGATTTCAAAATACGCCACTCTTGAAGACGTTCACCTCCACGATTTTTACGCGGCTTTTTTATCTTACGCCGACATTTGCTGCCCATTTCGACATATAGCTAAAACTAACGAAAGGTAATAAAAAAACACGCTCTTACTATTTGCCTAAAATCATAAATGTACAGTACTTTCATAGTATAGACAACGAAAACACTGTAGTAAACTATAATTCACAACAAACTAAAAGGCGCACACCCACTCACTCAGACATCTTGACAGTAGAGAGCACAGAAGGTAAATAGAGATGGCATTGGGCACGAAATGGGCGCGAAATACAGGTGAAGCCACCGGAAGCCCCCCCAAAATCAGTGTTGTCATATAAGGAGTGGGGGGAGCAATGAGTCATCCTAGTTACGCGCGTATCCTACAGTAGCCTCCATCTAACAAAGTTTGTAACATTTAGGGCAGTAAAAGCAGTTTTGTGTACACACAGCTTTATGTACAGTATTGTTTTTTCAAATGTTTTGTGCTCAAACTATTATTGTCAAGACAATGTAATGTACCGTAAAACATCCGTGTTTTTGTAATGTGTAATTGAGTTAAAGATTGTTATTTAAAAGATTTGTTGTTGTTTGAGCAAAGTAAAACTTACATAAAAGGATAAATTCGTTTTAATATCCTTATTAAAAGTTTATAAACTGGCTTCAATGCATTGTTTCATATAGAGCCGATTTGGTCGTCATTTAGTTATTAATTACACAAAATAATAATACAATTAATGTGAATAGCAATTTTATGTATACGAATGTTACCTTACTTGACTTATAATTAATATACATATTGTGCATCAATCACTGTGTGTATATGTGGTTGCTAGAGACTAGAGACGTGTAGTCGAAAGGCAGCGGTCGAGCGTCGCGTCGGCGGGACACAAATTTTGCTTCCTATTCTACCTGATTCATTTCCAAAAGTATGCTTAAAAACAACTTTTTGTTAAATGTATATCATGATACAACTCAAGCTTTCAAACTTTGCCGCTGACAAAACTTTCCTGACCAAAAAATAAAAAAATTTCCAGATCACTTACTTTTTCATGTTCTAATTCCCAATTTTAAAATTTCTTTAAGTTTTAACAGTTGTTAAAATTACAAAAAAATATTATTTTTAATTACAGCCTTACCATCACCGAGAAGCACTAATTTATAGTAGCTGTACCAAATTTGGTAATTTTAAGTTGACTCTAAGTGTGTCAAATCATTATACATTTGAAAAAGGTGATCTACCGCTATATGTAGCAGTTGCCGTCCCAAACTCCATTCCCGTGCCAGCAACTCAAGTAATACGAATATCACTCCGCTGCTAGTTTCGAGAACGACCGCTAGAGTGCAGTCGGACTGTTGATATTTTGGAGTAAGAAACTCGCTGCAACACTCTCGTTTGGCCCCAAATTTTTTGGTTATTTTTTATCCGATTTTAATAATTTTTTTTTTATATTAATCTTAATGAAACTTGTAATGCTTTTTGTTTTTTAAAATTATACATAATTGCCTTAAACATTACCAAAAATATTGTAAACTTACCCATGTTTACTAGTTTATTTTTAAAAACATAAATTACTATTTTTAAAATTTGGTCCACGAGTTGCATTTAGGATTATATTACCTTTCAAACGACACCACATTTGTAATTTTACGTTGAAAAATAACGAAAAAATTAGGGTATATTCGTTATCATTGGTCTTATGGAGAATCAATCCAATATGGCCGACGGGGGGAGCGTGGCCTTAAAATTTGATTTATTAGTTAAAAAGGTAGGCTACTGTACAAACCTGGACAAGTACCGGTATTATTGTAAACAAATAATAGGTTAGGGAACTATAACACAGCTTCTGTCATAAGTAGGCAAAGTCAAAATAGGCTAGTTGAATTGTAGCTACCTAAAATACTAAACAACAACATAATCGACTAATATACAGCTAATATAAAGAAGGTTATAGTACAGAATCAATTTGACATAGCAGAATCACAAATTTAAGATTAAGACTCACCTATTGTCACAGTTAGGCACGTGTCGAAAGACTCGTTTCTTCTTGCCGCTGCTAACCACCATACAAGACATTGGAGGTCGAACTGACGTAGATGCCATCTCTACATCCACTGCCATACGCTTGAACTTCCTTTTGCTGCAAGAGAGAAAATATAAAATTATACAATTCACTCCTTGACAAGTTTCACAATATCTGGAATGTAAGATTTGCTTACCTCAATATTATAGAGGAATTTTTAGTTTCATGACAAATTTATTACGTTGGAACAGTATTAAAATATGTTATCAGGTTTGATTGTTTATTTAACCTATCACACACAAAGATATCTAGGTAAAAAAAAATCTATTTACATATAAAAATAAAAATGAATCCCTTTTTTTGATGGTATTCCATAACTCGGGAACGAGTGCACCGAATTGGAAGATTCATTTTTTGTTGTGTTCCTAAGTTCCAGGGGTAGGTTTTTATGCAAGGAAATTTATAATCCATCCAACCGAAATTTAGTAATTGATTTAAAAAATTTTAAAAAAATTGCCTTTACGCTCACTCACTTCAACCTGGAGGCGAGTGAGCGTAGCGAACAAACTTCACCTAGGACATGATTGAGTGATGCGAACGAGCATTTGACATAAAACCACATTAAGACAGGACAACGTCTGTCGGGTAGTAGTAAATAAAAATGATTGTATTCAATACATAACTAATTTATAATCAGTATTTTTCAGAAATTTATATTTGCGTTCAATAACAGCCAATTGGTTAGTGATCAATCATTTACATGTAACTTAAATAACTTATATCGTTATTTCAGACAGAGTGCCTAAATGGGGATGGATGTGAAGGTTCAGGAGGTAAATAATTTTTCATCCTTAAACGAGAAACACACATACAACTTATAGTTCGGTTTCTATCTGAGACAATTTTATATATCTCTTTACTAACCTGGATTGAAAACAAGATAAAAGCACCGAAAAAATCCTTATACCTTTAGAAGTGGGTGATATTATCTTACAAAAGAAATTATTTTCTTCCTACATATTCTTAAGTAAATTATAACATTTTAACAGAATCTCTAGTGAAAAACCCATTACCCTACCCCACAAAAATTCATGAACACAATATCTTAGTAGTCATCACCCTATGGTATGGATATCATATCGATATCAACAAACAAAAATTATAGCAGCTGAAAAACAAAATTAAATTTTTACAACACTATACAACTGACCGTCGTGTGCTGGGCCGTATTGGAGAGAAGTTCTCGTTGACCGAGTCTGACTCCATGTTGCCTACGTGGAGCAGATGACGTTTCTCTTGCAGACTGAACATTGCGGGGCATTCCTGCACGTCGTCTGAGTCACTCTGACACAGAATAAATAAGATCTTAGAAAAGAGGTAAGTTTCTGCATCAATAGTGATAGGTCCTATCACTCACGGTCAGTAAGACAACAAAGCAAACACCGGGTTATGAATTTTCTTATTTTTTTTAACAATCTACCAACACAAACAACAAATTATTGCTTAATAATAAACATAGTAAACAAGTTGCTGGGTCAATTTTTCATTCAAATAGAACATAGTCAGTCACAGGATCTGCCTACAATTATTTTTCCTCCCTTGGACCTACAGTTCTCTGTAGGCATACTAAATATGATATTTTAATGGATAACAAATGTGCTATATTTATCGTGGCCTTTGTTTACAAGAAATTGTTGTTGTTTCTATTTAGCTTGTTTAAAAGGTTTGCGTGTTCAACAGAAATCAGCAACTGACATCAGCCCTGTGTGAGTGGCTCAAATCAACTTGCCAGGATCAGAACCCTTTATATTCACCCTCAGTTTGTAACTCCTTCGTTTATCGGGCCACTCCTCAGAGGCCGATATCAAAACCTGTATCCCACAGCTTTCAGACATGTAACTACACCACAAGTCTCTTTGACTCCAGTGCTCTCAAGATATATCTGAAATATCCTACTGTGTTCACTACTCAGTTGGGCAAGTGGGCCTAAAGCCGGGTTTTCCTAGGCGTAGAAGCGGAGAGCGGAGAGAGGAACGCGGAGAGCGGACTCCACTTGTCTTAGGTAATTTAATGTTACTGTTTTCCTAGAAGCGGAGCGGAACACCATGTTAATCTCTTTTCCGCTCTCCGCGTTCGTCTCTCCGCTCTTCGCTTCCGCGCCTAGGAAAACCGAACTTTACCTTAACAACTGGATGATTATTTCTGGTGTGGCTAGGGTTGCCATATTGTAATGTGTGAAAAAGAGGAGATTTTAGCTGGCGGCCCCCACTATAATAGTCGATAAAAATTAATGGGCAAGCAAAATTTTATACCTAGTACATAACAAATATATTATAGGGTAACAGAAACTGTATGGGTCAACTGTATAAACAAAATGATGTAACTGGCCCGGAAGTAAACGTATTTTTATTACCTATTATTTAAATGGAACTGTCAAAAAACATCCAAAGCAGTTGTTAACCCTATTAGCCTATAGACATTAGGGCCAGTTACATAATTGGTTTATATTTATTAGTCCATACCGTTTCTGTTCAATATTCGTGCTGGATTGTCAATATTCAAATGGTTGCATAAAATGTTGCATCGCTTGTCACATCTCACTAAAAATAACTACATGTACAATGCAGTTGTCTGCTTGCAATATTGAGTGGAGCTAGCATATCCCAATACTTTTCTGAAGACAATGATACATCTGTTTCTCGTAAATGAGATTTATACTTGCAGTATCAAATTTATAGGTATATTTGGTTCACATAAATGGAATGTCTATTTGCAGTATCCAAAGTCAATTATAAGTATGGTTCTCATAAATTAAATGTCTATTTACAGTACCTTACCTATCCAATGTCAACAATATTTAGTATCCAAAGTAAATGGAACGCCTGGTTCACTTAAACGGAATGTCTATTTACAGGTTCTTAAGTCAATGGTACATCTGGTTCAAGTAAACAGATTGTTTACTTAAAGTATCCAAATTTAATGGTACACTTGGTTCTCGTAAATGAATTGTCAAGTAGCAGTATCCTAAATCAATGGTACACCTGCTTCACATAAATGAGAAATCTACTTGCAGTATCCAAAGTCACTGGTGGGATTACTTCTGGTTCACTTTAATGGGATGCCTATATTTCAGTATCCAAAGTCACTGGTGGGATTACTTCTGGTAAACTTTAATGGGATGCCTATATTTCAGTATCCAAAGTCACTGGTAGGATTACTTCTGGTTCACTTTAATGGGATGCCTATATTTCAGTATTCGAAGTCACTGGTAGGATTACTTCTGGTTCACTTTAATGGGATGCCTATATTTCAGTATTCGAAGTCAATTATATGCCGGGTTTACGTAAACGAATTGTTTACTTGCAGTAGCCAAACACAATGGGACATTTGGTTAACGTACATGAATTATTTACTTGCAGTAGCCAAACTCAATGGTACATTTGGTTCACTCACGTAGATAAATTTTCTACTTGCAGTATCCTAAGCCAATGGTTCATTTGATTCAAATTAAATGGAATGCCTATTTGCTGGACCTATTTAATGTTTATTAATGGTAGGCTACTAGGCCAATATTTGGTTCACATAAATGGAATGCCTATTTGGAGTATTTAAAGTCAAAATCCGGTAATCTCCAGAGAAATACAGGGATATGGCAACCCTAAGTGTGGTTAGTACATCAAAGTAATTGTTTTATTTTTGTATTGTTTTTTACTTAATTAAATAAGCTAAGGATTTTTGATTTTGGTAATGTTTACCTTTAAGCTTCAGTAGGTCTAAGTTATGTTATCTGAACTCACATTCTTATAGTTAACCACTTTCTTTTAGAAATATATTTTCTATTGGTTTCCCAAGCTGTGAGTATTAATGTATAAAACTATCTCAAAAGAGACTCAAACACTACCTACTACAGTAATTGATGTCACATAAGTTAACTAAGTAAATTATCAGTTTGAAAATATATTGGTTTACCCTGGCAGGGGCTCGGTTGCTTGGTGGTCAGATATGAGGGATTCTACTGTACATCAGAATTTGAATTCTTGAACAAACTTAACTGAACAGCCATTTTTTTACAGCGTTCTATCAATTTAGTAATAATTCAACTCACCTGATGTATACTTGAGAGGCCTTTATCTCCACGAGGCTGTCCCCAGTCCCCTACACTGCTACTGGAGTCATCACTGGGCCGTTGCCAGACAAACGGCAGACTGCCGGTCGACCTGGTCCTGCGTCGGGCTCCGTACGGCCTCCGTCTCACGGCTGGGGGTACTGGAGCTGTCTCCATGGCCTCCATTGTATCTCCCTCTTCCTCCCCTTCTTCCATGAGACATTCTTGTGGGAAAGGTTTTAAGGCTCGGTCCATTACTACATTGGATACTGTTGAACAAAATGAGTTCAGACACTAATCTGAGGCTGAGGAATAAATTTAGTTTTAACTTATTTTGATCATAAAGCTAGGCTGTAAAGATATCAAACATTTATTAGAAAGATTTGAAAATGGGTTTTTTCCTACAGTTACCTAACAATGTACAAGTTCTCTCACTGATTTGAGAAAGCAAAGAGGCCAATTCGCTCATCAGTGAGACAATGTTAACATCGTCTCACTCTAATTACTTTGTCTCACTCCAGATTTGCAACGTGAAGGCACAAAATAGTGAGCGCGTAACATGCAGACAAGGTCGTATGCGCGCAAAATACGTTGGCAGCACTAGCTGTGAATCAGCTGGCCAGCTGTATTGTTGTATAATTAAATGTCATATTAAAAGTTAACTTCTGTGAAAAATATGTTACGTTTCTTTACCAATTTATATGTATTCTCAATGCAGCATGTATTTGCAATACGTTTGTAGTGTAGTGTCAGATCTTTTTATTGTTTTATGGTAACTGTAGGAAAAATATAATGTGCAACTGGAGTGCAAAGTGCAATTGCCTCACTCGAGAAACCATTCCTCACTAGCCTACGGCTCGCGTGTAAGTATTTCTCTCAAGTGAGTCAATTATTGCTCACTTTGCTCACTAGTTGCACAAATAACTATTTAACACCGAAACTATAGTCATCACGACAAATATAGGATTGATTGACGATAGGTTAGTAACCTTCTTTTATGGCTTACGAATTAATCTAATTGCTTATTTTTGCAATACCAACAACTTTTTAAAGTTACTCTCACTTCACAGACAACCATTCTATACATTAGTTACAGTACAAGACTTTAAATGTATGCGCACAGTGTATTGTCATAAATATCTGTAAACTAACAGGAAATTATGTCAGAGAAGGTGACCAAGAGAACCATTTCAGAGAAGGTGACCTACAGAACCATAGTAATTTATATAGGTATTTTTAATTTTTTTATATAGGTATATTATATAGGTAATTGTTAAATCCAGTTTCTAAGGGAAACTGGATTTAAAAATTAAATTTGATCATTAAAAACAAAAAATTTACTGCTGTCACATAAACTTAATAAACTACGATTGTTTGAATTTTATTACTGTAATGGCTCTTGTCTGCTTGTCTCTGTCGCCATTACTGTGTTAAGTGAATTGACTACCACAAACATGAACGACTGAAAGATCGTCTAGGGAAGAAGAAACCTAAGATTAAAAACATTAAGTTTGTTCAAAGAGGTCTAGAGGCATTTATAAATTCAACTGAGCGTTGATTATGAAGGTTGGGTGTTATGTGGATTCGTGACCGTACTAAGTGTTTTGAACATAGGTTAGATTAGGAAGGTAAAGATTAGGTTAAGTTATAATAAATCGAGTTGTTGATTTATGCTATCTCTAGACTGTTTTTGCACCTTGTAAATAGTGCTTTAAATACGATAAATAATAATTTAAAAGAATGCAAGCATTTTTGACATTTGAGGTAGGTAGGTTGGGTGTTACGTGCGTTCGTGACTGTATTAAGTATTTTGAAATTCTAGGTTGGATTAGGAAGGTACCTAGTAGGTTAAGTTTAGGTTATAATGAATCAAGAATTTTTGAAATTATTATTTATTGTGTTTATAGCACTGTTAATATTTAATAAGCAATAATAATATCCAATAATAGCCTAATGATCTTAAGCAATAATTTCAAAAAATGCAAGCATTTTTTAAATTATTATTTATTATGTTTATAGCACTATACAAAGTGCAAAAACAGTATGGAGATAACATAAATCTACAACTCGATTCATTACAACCCAAAACTTTAACTTCCCTTCAAAGTTGACTTAATACAGTCACGAATCCGCATAACAGCCGACCTACCTACCTCATGTGTCTTTTTCAACTTAAGTATGAAACAAATGTTAAAAAGCTGTTCGAGAAGTTTGGTCGGATTATGTTAGGCAAGAACAGTGTCAATTTCTTTTTTGGTGAGTCGGTGGCTCAGTTGGTAGCGTTACGGACTTTGGGCCCTAGGCAGCGATGTTGTGGATTCGGATACTGGTTACTGCCGCAAACATTTTATCAGTAGGCCTACAGTTTACCTTTGTACAATGCCGGCTCACCACTTATTTCAAGTGTTTTTCTCAGGATTTTAATTTTACAAAAACAGTCTGCAGGCAACATAAACTAACAACTCGATACATTACAACCTAAACTTTACCTTCCTAATCTAACCTAACTTCAAAACACTTAATGCAGTCACCAATTCACATACAGCACAACCTACCACTCTGACATGCCTAAATAAGAACTACATGTAATTAGTCCACCAGTCCATCTATATCTCCATAATGTGACGAAATTCCTATTACCGTATAGAGAACATTAAGTTATTTGACTACAGAATCACTTGAAATGTTATCCATCCTATCTTGTTTATTATAATGAAGTATGTTTTTACGGCGATATCTTGAGAAACATTCATCAGCGGTGAAAAATAATGGTATATTTGGATTCAGGAGGTAAAAAACTATAAAGTAAGATACCTATCAAAATTAAAAATTTGTTTGGAGGCACCTATACGGAAAAAATACCGCTTTAAAATGGAATATTTAACTTAATCAATCAATTTAAATGTGACTTGGGCTATTAGGCTAACTTTAATTTAGAAGCGTAACTTAAATAAGTATTGATGTGCAGATCAACGTTCCTAATACAACATTACAACTTTTACTTAAAATTCAAACGTTCATAACCTAGTTATAAATTAATTCAATTTTTGTGACAGCAGAAAAAGTTTGCTCCATTGCTTTCAGGTAAAAATCTAGTTTCTTAAGATATAATTTATAAAAATTAACTTACTAACTTATGGTTCTTTTGGTGACCTCTGACATAGGCTAACCAACTAACAATTAAGATAGCCTAAGTCGCCTTACTAGAAAGATACCGTACCGGTAGGGCCTACCTTTGGAAATTTCTTACACAAATTGAAAATTACTGTGCCATTTAACACTTATTAGGTTGCAACAACACACCAAGAAATTTAACCGCTGCAGTTTCATAACTGTCCCGCAGAATCTTCAGAAACCTCATAGGCCTCCTACAATCACTTGGACTAATTTTAAGAACTTTTTATTTAGGCATAACTTAAATGCTTTAACCAGGGCCGGATCTAGGAACCACGAAACCCCGCAATGCGGGGGGGCCCAAGCCCTTAGGGGGCCCAAAGAGCTCTATAATTTAAAATTATTTTTAATGCATATAAACATAATTGAATAGGACGGTAAGTTTAGTTTTGACAGACAAATATTGTCAGCAGAATATGGTTTATTTTACCTTGCCTAAAATGATCCTGTGTAGTCGTCAAACACGACAGCTGTTTCGTGCTACAATGAGCACATCTTCAAGGTGAAGAAACACAAAATAAAATCATTTAGCCCGCAGTTGAGCACGTCAAAAAACACATAAAGTACTGTACATGAAGTTCACACAAACACACATATTAAAACACTTGGCCAAGTACCGCGAACACGCGACGCGGCGCCGGTAATGTGTAGGTCATGACTCACACATGTGCGGTTTGAGTCATGACCTACACATTACCGGCGCCGCGTCGCGTGTTCGCGGTACTTGGCCAAGTGTTTTAATATGTGTGTTTGTGTGAACTTCATGTACTTTATGTGTTTTTTGACGTGCTTAACTGCGGGCTAAATGATTTGATTTTGTGTTTCTTCACCTTGAAGATGTGCTCATTGTAGCACGAAACAGCTGTCGTGTTTGACGACTACACAGGATCATTTTAGGCAAGGTAAAATAAACCATATTCTGCTAATTTTAATGAGGCTATCCATCATGAAATATTGTCAATATCAAAGCTGAAGTTACAATTATTGAGTAAATTTAGAACCTACTGATTTTACTCGTCAACAACTCGGGAGCTCACCGTAGACAGTTTAATCTGTGGTTTACTGTCACTTTCAGTTAGTCCAGTCTGGATGCTCAGCTCAGTCCAGTCAGCTCTTCAGCTAGACACTCACAGATCCACTACAGTCCGATCGACGTGGACGTAGTGTCAACCAACTTAGTCAACTATCAGTTGAGCTGAGCAATAAGTCTGTAGTACAGGTGGGACTTGTAATAACCTCTGTAGCGTTATCTAACGACCTCAGGGCCGGCGAGAGCCGTCACGGGCCTCTGAGCTGAGTGATCCCGGGCCCCCTATTTTCCCGATTTAGTGTCTAGCTGCCTCCGTGCCGTTTTGTTAAACATTTAACAATATATCTAAAACGCATGATAGTTTGATTAATTCTCTTGCTCATAGTTGCAACTTTATTCCACTCAAAAATTAATATGTGAACTGAAAAACCATACTAAAATCAAAGATTTTAGCAGATTACATGTAGGCCTACAGAAAAGATTTCACATTTGACCAGGTCAAGCTCCCTTCAGAGCCCAGGGCCACGGGGCTTTGGCCCCTCTGCCCCACCCTCTGGAACCATGATTTGTATGTAGGCCTATCTATCTTGAAAATACAGTGTAAAAAGAAACTAAGTTTAAATTGAGTTGTTTGTTTATTATTTTACATTATTATTTATGCTTGAAATTCTTTATGTAAAACCTTTTACTTTTTTTGTACAATATGTATTTTATAATTTGTACTTAAGTAAACCTATTTGAAAGGCTAAGAAATCCTATTGACATAAGAATAAAAAAGCTTTATTTGAAGTTTGCTGTTTTTTTAGTTAAAAAATTTACAAAATTACGCATTTTAACGAAAATGTTTTTTTTTACAAACAGGATCAATATTTTATCTTAAAAATAGCGTAAAAATTCAGTTTCAGCTACTTATATTTTAAACATTCCCACCCCCCTCACGCATATAAGGTCCCCTCCCTGCTATATTACGCCAGCTCTAGGGGCCCTCGGAGGATTTTTGCAGGGGGGCCCATATTTTGTAGATCCGGCCCTGGCTTTAACAGGATAAATTGGCTGCAGTCCAATAGGCTTATTCAATTGTTACATTTGATTGATCAGGATAGGATAGACATGCCTACATTTAGCATAGCCTATGCCTACAGCAGGCCCTAGAAGTTAGATGCCAAAATAACACACTTTATATGATTCACTGATTTCATTGAGCAAATTGACATGACTAATGACTAAAAAGAGGTTAAGTTAACTTATTGGAGGATGGAGGGTAAAGTTAGTAGGTCTAAGTTATGCATAAAATAAGTTATAATGTCATAATATAATGTTCAAAGTGATTAACCACTACCATTAAAATACTTAGTCTAAGCCTAACACTAACACATTTTGGCTTTCAAGTTAACAGATTTAAGAAGTGCAAACAAACCTGACACGACAGTGGTGTTTTCTTCACTCAAGTTCCAGAAAATCAATCGTCTTATATGCACACTCTTATTTGGGCAATAATACTAATAGATTGCCAATAACATGCATTTTCGATGATTAAAAATATTAAGTTCAAGAAACACTGCACAAAGTTACTTACTGTCTGTAATTTCAATTTGACTCATTTTATATGAAAGAATCTATCTGAGTAACATCATGACACTGACTTGACTCAAGACTGAATTAAATGAATAGATAGATAGATACAGACTGTCAGCAGACAGATACCATCAACCAGAACCAATAAATTGGCATTTAAGTGACTTTTGGTTCAACCACAGCCTTTTTAATATCAAAGACATGAGTGAGTAGAGAAAAGAGAAACAAATAAAGCAAAAGATGTTTTTTTACATCAAAGTGGTTGTTATGTTATGTTACCTACCATAGTTTTCTTGAAATAAAAATACAATAATGTATTTGTGGAAAGCCAAGGGTAGAATATTTTTAAAAAAATTTACTACATGAAGTTAAAAATCATAGTCTGACGCACTACCTGATGCATAATTATTAATTTTACTTGGTATGGGTATAACAGAACTAGCCACTTTTACTTTCTCCCCCTATGCCATAGTATATGGAGAAAGTATTGTTTTCGTCAACATTTTCGAGTTTGAGTTTTGAGTGGATATATTCGTTTTGGGTCCCCCTGGACCCAAAAAAGTGGTTTTCGAAGTGATGTCTGTGTGTGTGTGTCTGGATGTGTACAGAGCTAGGGACTACAACTGTGGTCCGATTTCGATGAAATTTGGTATGTAGGTTCCAATCCATGGTATCTCCAGGAGTTTTTTCATTTTTTTTGAAATTTTGATTTTTAATGGGGATTTTCTCATAAAAACCTGAAAAATCAGATCTTCCCAAAAATGGCCCGAACGATTTTGATAAAAATTTAGTATGTTGTAGCCCTTTAAATTCTGAACAAAATGGTGCAAACCCCATTTCTATAAAAAATACGGTTCAAGAGTTATTGTAAATTATGTTATTTTCCCATAAAAACCCCCATATAAAGCAACGAAAAATTGGATAAAAAAAATCCGGTTTTGATTTAACATAGTACGTTATGGTCCTTACATTTTTTATAGTATTTTTCATTTTTTATAAATTTTGATTGTTAATGGGGATTTTCCAATAAAACCCCATAAAATAACGGAAAAATTGGAATTTTCCAAAAAATGGCCCAAACGATTTTGATAAAAATTTAGTATGTTATAGTCCTTTATATTCTGAACAAAATGGTACAAATCCCATTCCTGTAAAAATTACGGTTCAAAAGTTATTGTAAATTATGTTATTTTCCCCATAAAATAACGGAAAATCGGATTTTCCCAAAAATGGCCCGAACAATATTGATAAAAATTTAGTATGTTACAGGCCTTAAATTCTTAACAAAATTGTACAGATCCTATTACCGTATATTTACTCTCACCGCTTACACACGATAAAGGTTGTTTATTTATTTATTTACAGACGGAAAACTCCATTTTCATAACATACAATCATGGCAAGACATTTCATTCAGACTTACATAGAACAATTCATACATAACATCAAGATGACCTGACTAAAGAACCCTAATAAATAAGAATGTATCAAAATATATCAATATATATAACAATAAATGACAAAAAATAACAATGAATAACAATAAATAACAATAATAACAATAAATAACAATAAATACAATAAATAACAACAATAATTAACAATCAACATGGGGAACAACAAATTTGGCAAACTTATGGGAGAAAGTATGTATCAAAATGCTGATGGGTGAGGTTCATAACTCCAAGTTTTCATAACTCCAAGTACTTTTAAATACAACATTTCATAACTCCAAGTAAAATTATGTCCAAGTAAATTAAAACCAAAATATCATAAGACCAAGTTTCATTTTCATTACTCCAAGCGTTCATAACTCCAAGATTCATAAGTCCAAGTTAAAATAAAACCAAGTAAATTAAAATATAAAATTTCATAACTCCAAACGTACAGATTTGCAAGGACCACAAGTCCAAGTTTCATAACTCCAAGGGTTCATAACACCAAGTTTCATAACTCCAAGTGACAATGGGTACAGTCCGTGCAGGAAACGATAACGTACGCACACACACGCACCCATTACACACACACATGCTGGAAGAGAGTTTCCGATGTTGGCGAGACTATTCGAAGTGGTGCGTTCCCTGTCGCTTTGCACGTTCGTCTAAATTGTAATACAAATAGTTACAGGATGAAATTTACATATTTAAATTCTGCGTAAACTGATGTTTAATACTATATAAATACAATTTAGTTCGTGCAGATGATAAATGTTTAATAATGGAAAATATGAAAAGGTTGTTCAATGTAAACATGAAAAAGTAAGTGAGCGAGGATTTTTTTATTTTTTGGTCAGATGAAAACTTTCAGCGAGAAAAGTATAGATAATAAGATGTTCTTCAATTTTTGTTCCAAACATTTTTTCGTAAGACTTTTAGTTTGTCCAATAATCGACTTATATGACCACCACGAGGTATGAATGAATTAGTTTACGCGCACGGTATTTTAGCAATTGCCGTCTTCCAACAACAATATTAAGGAAATACAGTATTAGTTGACGTTTTAAAATTTCTAAACTATGAAAAATATTTAGTCTTAACTTCTTCAGCTGTATGTACAAAATTTGGAAATTTTTTTCTACATAATATTCGTGATGCACAACGCAAATAAGTCGTAGTGCCTTTTTTCCACTATTTTTCATCTCCTTTTTCGGAAAAAATTTACACAGGATTAATCCACGTTAAGGTTTCATCTTGTAGCATTCATTTGTAGATATACAATTTGATTATAGATACAATTACTTGTTCCCTCATAAATCTTTATTCCGTAACAAATATGAGAGTGTATGTTAGCAAAGTAAACTGTACGCAAAATGTCTGTAGTGCATAATGGGTTTAATAAAAAAATACCATATTTAAAATTTTAAAAATACTATCTAGATTTGTATGATCCAAACAAGCGGATATAATCTATAGATAGGTCTAAACATTTGGATTTCGAGACTAAATTATCATAGAAATATGTTTTTGAGTAAATACATCTATACTTAATACCAGATTGTTTTATTTGAGTTAAATAGAAGGTATTTATCATTTAGGTATTATTTAAGTACCTTAATGAGTTAAGTACTTTAATATAAGAATTGGTGTCGTCCAGTGGTCAAAACTCGACCACAATCCAAATAAAATATGAACTTATCTATATTCATCCTGCGCTGAAAATCAAACATGTGATGATTGTGTACCAGTCTTCAATATGTTTTGATTTTCTGTATATTTATCGTTGTTATTGCGTCACCAGAATTTTAACTCATAATCCAAATGTTAGTTTTTTGTTTATGTTAAATTCGTTTTCGTACTTATTTTTCATCATTTTTTTAATTTATTAAGTTGTTCTGTTTATCTACAGGAAAATATGTTTCTAACAGTATGCGTAGATTTTCCTTGCGATGCACACGAGCTGAGAAAAGAAACATATTTGCCTATTAATATATAGATATAGCTAATACTTGTCATACCAATAAGGAGAATAAATAAGCAGACACAAGAAGGATCTTATTTAAGAAACATAATTTAATGTAGGCTATTCTAATAGCCAATGAAATTTATTTTTGTAAACCTCACAAGAGAGATAATAGTAATAATAATCGACAGTATATAGTAAAATTAGTGGGATTCTGTTAACCGCCGCAAACATTATCAGTACTGTTCACCTTCGTACTGTAGTACTGGCTCATCACTTGCTTTGCTGGATACGTTACACGCACAGATCTGTAGTCTTATGTGGACGGGCAAATTCCCTAGTTGGAACACATAATTCTTCATCCAAACTCTATGGGCCTTGAGAGTCACTTAATTGTATACACAACATAAGTAAGCAATATCAGTTGTGTGTTTTAGCTAATTTCCCATATAGGGAATAAGCTATTACCGTAGTACTCATGTAAGACCTGGACCCGGACCGAATTAATTTTCGTTTTGAGATCCCTAGAGGCCAAAAACACCATCCGTTCCTTCTTTGTTACATTTTTTAGACAAATTAAAATATGATATTATGGAGCTATTTATGTTGCAAGCGCTAATAAGTGGATGATACTTAAATAATTTGTAGAGAACGGATTGTCCAATTAATTTGTTTGTGGCGTCAAACCATATGTTTATGAGAGTAAGGAATCTGTTACCAATACTAACTAGTGTACATTTTGCTCGAATTCGAGCAATTGCAAGGTACTGGTATTACAGAAATTATTTCAAAAACAATAACAGTAATATTCCCGTGGCGGAGCACGGGCGGTTAACTAGTTTACTACAAAATGAAAACAACCAATAATTATGGTCGCCGGAATAAGGCTGAAACACCTTTGACTTTAAATAATCTAAATATCCATTACATTTTAACCAAATATAAGCCTACCATTGAGTTATATTTCCATTTAACTTGCAATTCCAAGTAGGCTCTCCATTTCAGTGAACTAGACTTACAATTAAATAATGCAGACTTAGGCAGAATAGGTACTGCAATAATTAGGACTTCCATTAATATGAACCGAAGATACCACTGAGTTTAGATGCTGCAAGTAGACATTCCATTGACGTGAACCAGACGTAACATTGACTTAATATACTGCGAATCGGCACTCCGTTTATGGGAATCAAATTAACCATTTCTTTGGATCCTGCAAGTAGACAATTTATTTATGTGAACGATATGTACCATTGAGTTTGTATACTTCAAGTAAACAATTCCTTTAAGTGAACCCGACGTATCATTGACTTTGAATGCCGCAAATAGGCATCTTATTTATGTGAACCAAATGGACCATTGACATTGGATACTACAAGTAAATTTCTCATTTTTGTGAAGCTGGTGTACTATTGATTTAGGATACTGCTACTGCAAATAGACATTTAATTTATGAGAACCAGATGAAACATATATACTTTGAAGTAGACAATACATTAAAATTAGACATTTCATTCATTTGAAACAAAATATATACTAATGAGATTGGATACTGCAAGTATGCATTTCATTTACGAGAAACATATGTAACATTGACTTAAGAAAATTATTTGATTATTATGTCTGATATCTGCTCAATATTGCAAGCAGACAACTGCATTGTACACCTAGTGTAAATTACCTGAAATGTAAAGTTAAAACTGTGAACGTTTCTCATCCAAAGTTCCCGTGCGATCTCTAGTGTTCACTTGGTAATACATGTGTATTACCAAGTATGGGGTGTTTTCAACTCCCCACGTGAGTGTTAACGTTTCGTAAAAAGTACAAGTTCCTGTATAAGGTAATGTTTTTTTCTTTTTGCGAAAGACTCTAAAAGTAATGAAAGGACATTTTTTATTTACATTTATTTCGATAACAAACAAGTGTTTTTGACATATAAATAAATTTGTTTGCACAAAACTTGTGTGTATTACGATCCCCCCACCCCTAAAAACTGTTTTTAGTAGTACATTTTAGGAAAAAATAATACCTTTACCATTCACAGACATAATATAATCTTTTAAAAATTATATATTTTCCGGATAGTACATATGCTAGTTATTATAAATAAATAACTCTTTCATATTGGAAACAGTATACAGTAAAATAAACTTAAATAACAACAAAAAATGTTATTTACCAATTATTAGTGTTAATACAATTATAACAAAAATGTAATAACGGGGTGTCAAAAACACCCCACGCGAGTACATACGTTAGTAAAACCCGCGCGAGTAGTTAAAGGTTAAAGTCCCTTTATCATAGAAGTAAGAAGTATAGCAATTAATTAATCTGTAAGTATATAACAAAATTACATAATCGTTTGACAGGCGACGGTAGGTATATAGATACTGTACAATGGTGCGGCAACGGCTGCTGACAGTATTACAGCGGAGCGGACAGCGCAGGAACTTGTGGCGCTGACTGTACTACACATTCCACTTGGAGATATGAGACTCCACTCAACTTTTGGAGTTATGAGACTCTGGTTTAATTTTTACTTGGACTTATGAAACTTTGGAGTTATGATCACTTGGACTTATGAAACTTTGGAGTTATGATCACTTGCGCTTATACAGTATTTTTCTTGGAGTAATGAAATTACCCCTTTTCGGGTACTTGTAGTTGTGAAACTTTGGATTAAATATAATTTGGAGTTATGATCTCTTGGACTTATGAAACTTTGGAGTTATGATCACTTGGAGTTGTGAAACCTTGGAGTTATGAGATGATCCCATGCTGATACCGTTTATTTTATTTTTGTGTCTAGCTGTCATCATGAAGCTGTAGATCAGCTGGTCTGCCTGTGCAACGCTTACTTTGGCTTTGCTATTGGCCAAATTTCGACCAATGCTAATGCACCTTCTCCCGCGAACCTGCGCTACGCTACTGTGTGTGAACGTGAAACTGTGAACTTCACTTCACTTCTTCACTTTACCCGCCACAGCGCCAAGCCAAGCCAACCTACCTGATTACATTCTTCATCATTCTTCTATTGTGGGATTTCTGTTTTTCGGAGGGTGAGTAAATTAAAGTTATTTTCTGTAGACTTCGTCAACAATGCTACATTTTGAGATCACCTATATTTATTCTCCTCCTAAAATTATTAACAAGTAGTTTTAATGGATTTTAGAGAGTTTTGTAGTTGGAAATATGCTGTGATATTTTGGGGTTGCAAGCCCTCCCAGAGTATTTTGGCGGGAAACGTACTTAGCAACGATTGCGTGGCAAATGATTCAGCTCTTAAATGTTATGTTCTAAACTATTTTAATTATTTAGATTATTGTAAGATTCAAATAGTCTATGCCTATAGTTCCTTAAAAAAAATCAGGAATGTAAAATAATTATATATATTTAATTATTTACCTATATTTTATTTATTAGGACTACAAAACTTAGGCTAAACCATGAGTTAAAAATTAAATCAATTCAATTTGAACTAGCCTAGACCTAGGTAGGCCGGGCCTACGCTTAACCTGTTATTGGACTAGGCCTAGAAGCCGCGGAGGCTGGTTTGGAGAGATAGCCTCTCCTAATTTACTTGGTCAAATTAATAATGGTGATCTAGCCTAGGTGCAGTGCTTATTGTATTGTAGTACCTATGCCTATTCTTCTTGTTAGCTAGGCTTAGGCCTACCCCATTCTAGACCTAACCATACCCCCCGCCACACTTGAACCTACTTCAAATTAAGTTATCATAAGTAACTTAGGTCTAAGTTTATCGATAACTTAGGTCAAATTAAGGTTGATAGCCTGGGTAGGGTTGGTAACTAGGTAAGTTACCAGCCTGTTGTAGATGCAAGAGTAAGTTATGCATATCTCTCCACCGCTAATTCTGTCTTTCCGACAATTAACCTAAGTAGGTCTAAGTTACTTTAACTTATTTGTGGTTATTTGTTAGTGATCTTTAGTAGACAATAGACAATTCTTTATTCCGTTAGACAATATTACTTTGCAAGGAGTTGATCAGTTACTTCCGGTTTCAAGCGCTCACCTTCATCTCACGAAAAATACTTATATCTAGGCTATAGGCCTATCCCAATGGCCAAACATTACTTCCCTTTACCATCATTTACCATTTACCATCGATGTCTTCTCCGCCGTCCTCGTAGACAGGTGAATCGTCAATTTCTTGTTAATATGTGTGTGTGTGTGAGTGTTCTTGAGCATTGCTCTCCTATTTGTTGTTTAGGTTATAATTGTGTTTGTTAATAAAGTCAGTTAATTTATAATATGGTCGTTCAATCAGGTAGGTATTGTTTCAGTTGTTTTTTAAAAGTTTTATTTTCACTTAATTCTTTGAGTTCTTTTGGCAAAAGATTAAACATTTTGATCCCCATGTTGTTTGGAGTTTTGCTTAGCCTATGGTAGCCTAAGTAATCGTCCGAAGTTATCTTGTCGGACAATAATTAACTTATACTGTACTGCAGTGTCTTTGAAACTTGCTAAGTACATTTGTTTCGGTAGATTTTTTTTTAAAGTTGACTACGCCGATGTCAGGCTTACAGAAGGATCCATTTCTTGAGGTGTCATCAGAATAAGATACATTCTTTACACATAGGCCTAGGCCTGCCGTAGAACAAAATACCAAAATTATTAAATAATGGCCTATCAAATACAGGCAATATACAGGCATGTATTTTATGGCCTATCTTGAATCAATTTTGGGTTATGTGTAAAATGCATGGGCCTAAACTTATAACTTAACTCAATCTGATAACATCCCAAGAAGTGGATGATACTTATGTTGGCCTGACGATAATTTCGGTATGTAAGATAGCGGAGTTATAAAAACACGCCGAAGCATAAGTTATGAAGCAAGTTTCTAAGGACGCTATAAGTTAGTACAAGTTGAGGTTTGTCTGACAATATCCTGGTGCTATCAAAATTAATTATAATCCAATAATTGTTAATTTATTTATTTATTACAATGACAACCACCATTTTACAAAACATTAGGTAGGCCTAGCCTACAAAAGATAAGGCATGCATGTGACAAGGTGCAGAATGAAAACATAATATGGACCGTGTTACAAGAAGCTGGCATGATGATGAAATTACAATGACAGTTACTTATACATGATATGAAGTGACATTATAAATTATTAAAGCAATGTAAATTGAAACAACATAAAGTAAAGAAAGTATAACTTAAATTAATAACCAGTGCAAACTACGATAGACATACAAATTGACAGTTCTCAATAGTAGTAGTGATTTAGAGTCCTCTATATAGTTGTCCAGTAGGCCTATTTTTGTTTGTTCTCAAAAATCACCAAAGTTACAATTGATAAACAGTTGTTGGGGTAGCGGATTTTTATCCCCCTGGAATTTTACCCCCTGGGCAAACGTGACGTCACAAACCAGGGGGTAAAATTCCGGCCGGAACTTTTGAGTTTCGCGACATCAGTTCGATGGATTAAACGCGGAATTAAACATATATTTTTACGAGTGAATTTAATCAGAACACATCAAATTATAAAAACCTAGAGTGTACGGCCCGGATTTTTACCCCCGGAATTTTACCCCCCGGAATTTTACCCCCCAGAATTTTACCCCCGGAATTTTGCCCCTGGAATTTTACCCCCTGGCCAGATATAGCCTATAAATTAGCGAGAATGATTAATTATCTTCATTCTGTCTTAATTTAATAGTAAACATTTTATCATTAAGCAGCCTACTGTATGTTAATTTATTTGTAACATTAACTAATCGAACAAGTTTTTAATTTTAATTTTGAGATTCTAGTATTAGGATTTGATCTTTGAGGCCAACAGTTGGTTAATATGACGTATAAACAATCAACTGAATGATAATTGTTTTGATCATTTCTTTACAAAATAAACAAATAAAGATAGGCTACTAAATAATGAAATGTTTACAAATAATTACAAACAGAAACAAGAAAATCAATCATTCTAAGAATTCATTTCTAAGATGGGCCGGGGGTAAAATTCCGGGGGTAAAATTCCGGGGGGTAAAATTCCGGGGGTAAAAATCCGGCCCGTACATCTTTAGTTGTCTAAACGCTAGTTATATGGACAGGGGGTAAAATTCCGGTTTTTATCGCTAATCTAATTAATCACGCTCTGGCTATTTTCATTAGACTTCCAAATCCGCGGGGGTAAAATTCCAGCCGCGAACAAACTTTTGGCCACTCAAGTTCCTACGTCATAGTGACGTCAGCTTTGCCCAGGGGGTAAAATTCCAGGGGGATAAAATTCCGGCGACCCCAGTTGTTAAGCCAATTTCACATCTACCTTAGGCATTTCCAGTGTGCACTTTTCCTAATGAAAAATGCTTTGTTGGCCTCTGAAGAGGTTGTTGGCCTCTTTTAACCTTGCATTTGCCCGTCCACATAGACTTCAGATCTGTGCGTGGAACATATCCAGCAAAGCAAATTAAATAACTAAAATTCAGAAACTCAATAACTTTTTTTTATTAATCTCCTGCGAATATTTTAGCCCCTGAGGTAAGTTAAAGCCTGTGAATATTTTGAGGAACTCAGCAAAAACATTTCTTTCCAGATATAAATATTTACGATGGAAACTCCTCCACATGATGTGGTGCAAATAGTACGACGTTCCACACGAAGTGCCTTAGCGGAGATACCAGCCCGCATGGGAGCCATCACTTTTGCTGATAATGCCACACCAGGTAGGATATGTACTACAGTGTACAGAGAATGTTAATACAAGTAGAATAACTTTGAAGAACTTTGAAGAAAACGTTGCATTATAATGTAAACGTGTCAAATGAGTGTTCCTGAATGAACGTGAACTGTTTTGTTTAGGTAAAAATATTTCTATTTTAGGATTACTAAACCGTTTTTTTTTTTTTTATATCAGAGAACTTAACTTTTATATTTGTTTTTCAAATCTCTTGAACCAAAATTTGTGTTTGGATTTGATGGGATTTTTATAATGTTATTTGTCATAATTGTTTTGATCAATTATCAATTGAGATGGGAATGCCACTTAGGTTTGTATTTTAATACTTGATATAACACGTTATTGTTAATAACTTAACTTATACTTAAAATAAATGTAAAGTAAGGCCTAATACAATTATGACACTGGCATACTGATACAAGTTAAGTCTTGTACCCTAATTATAGCTCAGTAGCCTACTAAATATAAAAACGTAAAATATACATCTACTAAATAACCTTTTTAGGCTCAAGAAAGGCTTACTTTAAAAGATGATTATACCCTTTACAAAACTCTCATTTTAAATGACTTTTCATTTGACTTGTGTGTAGATCGAGTTTCACTGACAACTTAGGAGCAACTTTGTTTATTTAGGTCTACATTCTTTTTATCTACACCAACATCAAAACACAACCTCTTTAATGATGTTTACTTATCAATGTCATGTTTGTTCTTAGTGACTCGGCACCAGAATCATCCGTTCACCGCCAACGGACACCCAAATCTGTTCAACATCCCAGCCTCCTATATATCACCTTCTCCATCTCCAGACGAACTGGTCAGTATTAAATCATTAAATCATTCAATGCTTAACAGTAATTAATAGAATTTCAGCACAGTTGCAATACCTTAACAGTGTCAACTAAACAAATAACTTTTCTTGAATAAATACTTGATCTTATGAGTATTCCTTTGTTTGTTACATTACAAAGCATAACCTATATTTTTCTCAGAGTTCGACAAATGATTTTGCAGGTGATCCAGCAGCGTGGCAGGCGCAAGATGCCGGTCACATGGTCACCTGACATTGACTACCGCAAGCGTGAGAGCGCACCTGCCACTCGGGAGCGCACACCTGTCAAGATGTCTCCCAACTCCAAACACCTTGTACTACGCAGCTCTCCCCGCAAGAGACTGCTGCTAAATGACCCCAAGGAGATGTGTTTATCACCAGAGAAGAAAAAGGTATAGATTGTGTCAATTAGAGTGGGGAGTGGGATGAGCATGCTCACAAGAACCCTTCCCCCACGTGATGCTTGCTTTTATTTTGATCAGCCATCTTAACAATTAATTGATGTTGAATAACTCTAGTTTTGATTCTGATTCTTATACCACTAGCCACTAGTGTGAATATCTGTACACCACAGTGTGAGCCTTTCCCTACACCACAGAGAAGTAAGATACAGAGAATACAAGCTTATGGGACATTTATGGGAGCTTATGGTATTTTTGGGCGGAAATAATAACTTGTGACGAGCAAGGAAGAGCACTGTGTGGAAATGCCTATCGCACGGGGCACAGGGTCTTCTCTGTGCCTACTCACATTATTGATATTTAATAGGGGTGTGTGAGTAGTTAATAAATTTTTAAACTTAGGCCTAAGTATATTAATCTGTAAACGCTTAACCTCATTTATGCGTTGGTTGAATTGATTTGACATGGCAATAATTATAACAATGGAAAATGGATCATTCCTCTCTTTTATTTGTCAAATACACAGAATCAAGAATCAAGAATTTATTGCAACAAATTACAAAAAGAACATTTTGTATAGTTGAGGTCAATATGAGAGTAACTTAGGCTAAGAAGTCTCAATAATCTGCAAGGATAAAATGTCCAGTGGTTAGCATATTAATTAGGGCCTATAACATTTAATAAATTAGGCTACAATTAATTTAAACAACAAAGTAAGTTACAGATTTAAGGCCTACATCAGTCAGAAACTAAAAACTAATATCAATGTCAGACATAAAAAATTCACTTAAACTATAAAAAGGGTGATTTAATAACGAGCAAAAAAGTTTACTTTTAAATAACTTTTACAGACAGATGCATATGCATGGATAATTCGAACAGTTATAGATTTTCCCACTGTAGTATTCTATTATCAGCTGAGTTAGCTATCTGTGTTTTTCTCCAGTCTGTAATGAATGGTGAAGTTACTCATTGCATAGCCGATGTATTGATCTGGTATGTCGGTTATTCATTGTTTTTAACAAAATTATCCCGATATAACAAATTTAACTGATTGAAATAAAGGGGATAGGGGATTAACAAAACTCAAATACAAGAGACCAGGTTCTTTTTTGTCCTAGGACGCTAGGCACGAGCCTGGGATTGTTTTTCACATTACTTCATGCTAGACCTAGGGGTTGCGGCATTATCACTTGGATAAAATCCATTGGTGACTGGGCGGGGATCGAACCCGGGACCTCAGGGACTAAAGTCCCGCGCTCTAACCACTACGCCAGCTCGCTCCCCAAGTTTATTGATACAGCTATTTCTTCTCACTACTCTACTCGACTTTCTCAAATAGTACTCGCTCGAGCTCCGAGTATCTAGAAATGCTCAACTCAACAGATACTTGTTTACTCACCCACCGATGTCTTCTTAAATCTTGGTACAGGTATTAGGTAGCATTAGCCTTTTCGCCGCCAGCATTTTTTCATTTGTATATAATCGAGAACCGCCGAGGCCATTTTGTACTTAAATGCAATACTTATATAAAATGGCTATAACTTTTAATTTTTGCAAATATTTGAATTAAACCTTTATTCTAGAATTATAATAAAATTGCCTTTATAAAATATATAATATTTAAAAAGGTTTGAATGGAGATTATTTATGTTACCAAATGTAAGTAAAATAAATAAAGATAAATAAATAAAAATTTTGAGTAGGCCTACAACCAAGATAACTATATATGAATATAAAATATTTAATCAATATTTGTGTTGTTTTTTATTAGGTAGGCCTACTATACATACACATTTGTTAGCAAGCATGCGAAATTTGACAATCCTACCTTGAAAAATAAAAATAAGCTTCTTTCCAGGGTTTGAAATAAATTGTCTTCAGAGCATTGTGATGTCTTTGCGTCACTCAAATGCGCTATATAACGTCTAATGCCATATCATGCACAAGAAAAGGATAGAAGCCTACAGTTTTTCTTTATGCCAAATAACAAACATAACACCAACTATTTACGACACAAAATTATATACATACACTTAGCCTAAAAATTAAAATGGTCTAATATCGTCTAGCACCAATGTTGGCCAAAACACACGGTGTGTACACCCTTCTGGCACTCTAGTGCTGCATATAGTTTGGGTTTTTTTTTTCTTTTCCACCTGCTGTAATAGCCTACTGATAGGGCTACATACGCAGCAGGTTCTATCTTTTTAACTGGTAAGGTTTCCATTACAAACTGGTCATTTTGCTGCTGATTGTCTATTACGCCACCCGCTAACTGATACTTAGGCCTATGGACAAGTACCTCTTTTTACATAGGCTACTGTCAATTATAGATAATGTGAACTGAAACCTACTCATTTCTTTTCCACTATGGTTTTCCTTATACAAGGTACAAGTTAAAAATCATTCTTGAAAAATGTGTAATACAACCTTTTTCTAATACTGAACAGTCCGTCGCTCATCGAGGTAGGCGTAGCCTTTAACATCTGGTCTGAATGGTCAATAGCTCTCATGAAGCAGTTGTACACATCTATTATCTCTGGGTTTTCTTTTAGAATTACCTGATTATTTCTTACTACTGATTCTGCAACACACTTAGTTGACAGAAGAAGTACTGGGTTCTTTTGGGATGCTTTTTCCTTGTACGCAACCATCAATTTGCGGTCTTTACGGTTGTAAACTTGTGGGCCTACTTAAAATATTTTTTGAGAGCATCAGGTATATACCTTTCTGGTTTTTCCTCATAGTGGCCTGTCATGTAAGTCATCCTTTCATACAGATAATCTACCACAGGTATGGACATAAATAAATTATATACAAATTGGCCTAGAGAATTTAACTTATGAAATCATCACTGAACTCACCAATTAATTGCACACCAATCTCTGTCAAGTTATGAAATTTTGTGCTTTACTCACTGTTGACTTGTTTCGACCAAGTTTAGTCATATTTACTAACTGAAAAGCATTAGAACAACTTATGAAACTTTCATAACTTTCTTATAAGTCTTGAGAAGTTATCTACAGACACAGATCACACAGATGTTCTTCATCTCGGGAAATCTCATCCACCACGAGAAAAAACACAAACATTGGTTTTTCATTTGTGGCTTTTGGACGTAGAGGTGGCCAGTAAACAAACATTTAGCAGACGTCCAATATATCGAAGCGTGGCAATATTTGCCAAAGGGTTAGGTAATGTCGATCGCTCTTGAAAGTTGATGACAACAACACTGTTGAGGATGGAGTATAAGCAACAAAAAGTTGGTTTGTCAATCCATCTGTCTTTGACTTGCAAGTTTAGGCTATGCAACTGCTAAAAAACTGATGCCTTGGGACCTTGGTAGTATATAGAGTAAGGGTGGCAATATACAATATTCATTATTTACAGATTCATTGAGAAAAAAAGTACAGCGTCATAAGATACTATTGAAAATGCAGCAAATGATTAGCATTGTTAGGTTTGCCTTTTTTTGAATTGGCCATCAATGTTTTTGGCCAATTAGGGATGGACGAGATTGGATTTTTAGTTCAAGACAAAAAAAAAAGAAGGGAAATGCACGTCTATTGTTTACATGATTTTATAACATTGTTAAATACCTACTGATTTATGACATATGACTGGCTAACTACAAAAATAATAATAATAGGTAAGAATATTTAAAATCTTTTATTAAAAACATCAATAAAAACGTCAATATTAAAAAAATTAGAGATATCTTATTAAAAATAATTTGTACACGTAGGAAGGTGATACCAGTTAGAATATTGTTAAACTTTGAAAAATACAAAATTTATCAGTCTGAAACCGCAGTCCTACCAGTTAAGTATCAAGTAACAATTTTCAGTCTTGTGTAATTTATAGAATGATTTTGGAGTGACAGGTTTTGGCAATTTTTACAGTACCTAGTAAAACATGACTCACACTGCTTACACAAAAAAAAAACTTCTTATCATTTGCAATGTAAAAAAAAAAAAACAACAATTAAAGCAATTTACATGTGGAGAATTAATTAAATAAGAACGCCTTGGCAAAGGAAACGCATCAACAACACACTCCTGTACGGGTATTGTATTGACTTTCTGCAGGAAGTTTAACTGTATTATTTTTAATTTTTATAATTGTCTAGAAATATTTTGATCAAAATAAAATCTTGTCTTGTAGAAAGAGATTTTATTAATAGATCAAAAAGCACAGAAGGAGATGAAAGCCTTCTTAAAATATAAGGCATTGACTATTGATGTTTTAACCCTCATAAAATTGATGTTTTTGCAACGATGTTATCAGTTTATCGATGGCTTAAATACTCAAAATACTGAATGAACATTGATGGTTGACCTATTCTAATGCTCATCCCTAGTACAGGGTACATGTATGCGGCTGTCTCAGTGTATTAATTTACCTGCAGTTCACGTCTCTATATCGATTTGAAACAGATTTCATTGTCTCTCAAAAACCTTATCACTATCTACGTTGTAGAATCTACCAACGAGTCCTTTTTCATCCTTCAGCACTGATTCGGAACATAAATAGTGTGCACTACCTATGTTAAATCAAGAGCGTGTTGGTAGTCTAATTTAACCTATTTGTAATTCTTTTTGTTTGTAGCTGGAACATAATAGGACTATCATGTAAGTAGGGTTTTCCTACATCTATACTCCACTTAAGAGGTTTAGATAATTATTTTTAACAGATATTTACAAAATATTCTGATTAAGACATCCTTATGTTTAATCTAAATGATTACTTAGGCCTACATGATGGAAAAAAAATTGAAAGCCAATTATGGGTGTATCAATAGTTAAAATAAATTTATAGTGAAGGAAGACATTAAGATTAGTTTAAACTTAAACAAAGTTTGTAGGGAAGGAAGACATTATGATTAGTTTAACAGATTTTATTTAAAATTAGGCTATGTCGAAACTATTATTAACTTACCATTTTTGTAGCATCCCAATAAACTGTGCTAAGACTTTTTTGTTTGTGTGATTTGTTTATGTGTATTTTACATTTTAATAAAGTAATGTCTATTTACATTTTTTCAGGCAGCTTCACCAAATCCCAAAAAGCTGAAAATAGCCCCAGTTGACAGCAGCCCAGTGGATTTAGCTCTTAAGGCCCTAACTTCAGAACAGCTGATTAGTATTATTCAGAACGTCATTTCAAATCATCCAGACCTTGAAGAGGTAAATTTAATTAGATACTAGCTGCTGTACCTGTGCTTCGCAACAGGAAACAATTCAGTTTCGAAGAAAGGGTGTCCTCTTAATATCATTTAACATATCTTGATAGCCTAGAATCAAGAATCAAGATCAAGAATCAAGAAGTTTATTCACCATTAAGTAATACATGATTACAATAGGCTTCATCAGTTATTCATTGAAAGACAGTACCAAGATAATAATAATAACAATAAAATCAAATCAATATAGATTAAAAATAGTAACAATCAAATAAATAAACAAGACAATAGAACGTTTACAACAACAACAACAAGACATTCGAATACTCATAGTAAATTAAGGACCCAACACTTAGTTTACACTGTACTTATATCACATTCTAAAAATTCCTTTATAGAAAAATATTCGTGACTTATAAGCCAATCATGAATCTTATTTTTAAATGATTTTAAATCTAACAACTTAAATGATTCTGGAATTTTGTTAAAAAAATTTATTTGTTGATATTTGTGACTCTTTGCATACTTTTCTAGTCTTGGGATTGGCAAAACTAATTTGTTTGAATTTCTTGTTTGATAATTATGAATGTCACTAAAACAATAAAAGTCTGTAATATTTTCCTTGACATAAATTAAGTTCTGAAAAATAAAAATGCATGGTACAGTCATAATATTATATGCAGAGAAATGACTCCTACCGCTATCCCTAAACTCTAAACCAAACATGATTCTTATAGCTCTCTTTTGCCACAAAAAAACTCTATCTGCTCCAGCACTACCTCCCCACAACATATTAGCAAATAGCAAATGTGAATGGAAGAAACTGAAATACGAAGTTTTCATTAGCTCCTGACTTACACAAGTCTTAAGTTTTCTCAATAAAAAACAAACCCTAGATAATCGATTAGCTAAGTTGTTGGTATGTTCCTCCCATATTAGTTTCTGATCAAGAGTAATACCAAGAAGCTTTACAGACTTAGCCATGTTATATTTTTTCAATTTGTCTCAAAGTAAATATTATTGTTTCAGTTTTACTTTCATTTATCTTTAAATAGTTAGAATCAAACCACAGATTGGCAGCAACAGTTGCTCTATTAATATGGTCGTTAACATCATTCAGACAATTCCCATTGACTAGCACAGATGTGTCGTCCGCATATAGTATGGTATCACAATCTAAATTAACAGGGAAGGTCATTAATATACAATATAAATAGCAAAGGGCCCAGGACTGAACCCTGTGGGACCCCAGCAAGAACCTCTTTAAAAGAAGATGAGCAGTTCCCTACAGACACCATATGTAACCTACCACAAAGGTATGTTTTGAAAAAATTTAACTGTTCATTATTTATTCCATAATATTGAAGCTTATTTAAAAGAACGCTATGAGAAATTCGGTCAAAAGCCTTGCTGAGATCCAACAGGGTCACTCCTACAAATTCATGGGCTTCAAAGCGGTTTAAAATTTTGGTCACAGCACTATCTAGAGCCTTCACTGTAGAATAACCTGGACGAAAACCAAATTGGCTACCTGAAAGTATTTCATACTTATCAAAAAAATCCAACAATTGTTTCTTAACACAAGTTTCTAAAATTTTTGAAAACACTGATACTATTGTAATTGTTCTGTAATTGTCAATACTATTTCGATCACCCTTCTTGGATAAAGGTATACTTTTAGATGCTTTTAAACACTGTGGAAAAAGTGAAGATGTCAAGCAAAGATTAATTATGTAAGTTAATGGCTTTATTATAAATGGAGATACCTGTTTCACTAATTTGTTTGAGAATCCAAAAATATCTTCACATTTTGATGCCCTTAAAGTATCTACAATGTTTTGTATTTCTCTTTCGTCTACAGTTCTCCAGCTTAGATTTTCTGGAGGGCTTTTAGTATTAGTTAAAAACACTTCATGACTTAACCCATTAATGTTTATTGACTGACTTAATTCAACCGTTTCCTTACCTATACCTATATAATGACTATATAATGATCATTGAACTGTTCAGGTGTTATAGGGGGTATTGGTGCTTCTGATTTGAAATGATTTCCTGCCTCTTTTTTTTTTAATGTTCCAAGCCGCTAGACACTTATTACTAGATTTATTTATACACTCATCATTGTAGGTATCTAATTTTAGCTTCCTTAATTTTTGCCCTATACATTCTTCTGTGAGTAGTATAACAATTCCTTAACTCCACATTATCTTTGTAAGCTGAAACCTTCAGCACATCTCTAAGTGTATTTACAAAGGTTCCTAACTTCCTAAGTGAATCATCAAACCATTTTGAACCTCCATTTTTATTTTTACCTTGCATTTTAATTTGTTTTTGGAGTCTAGGGCAGTAAAAATTGTACAAAGATGAGAGGGTATGGACAAAATATTCAAAAGCGGCATTTGTATCGGTCATTTTAAACAGTTGTTGCCAATCAAATTGATACAGGTGATTGACAAACATATCTAATTTGTTTTCATTCAACCTTCCTATAGGACATCTGTTTCATATAGGGAGGGTCTGTGGAAACTGAGAACTTAAACTTAATAACCTCATGGTCAGAAATGGCATATTGACCGAGATAGCATTCAAAACATTTGTTATCAATATTTGTAACTATGTTATCTATATTACTATTTTGCCTGGTTGGAAGATTATTGACATGAAACAAGTTAAATGATTTAAGAATATTAATAAGTGTTACCGTTTCAATGTTCTTTACTTTAAAGAAATCTATGTTAAAATCTGACCCAAGTACAATTCTACTATTTGGCTTCTTATTACTAATAAAAATGAGTAAAGATTCAAGACATTCAAAAAATACATTAAAATCAGGGGTTGGGGTTCTATACAAAGAAATAAATAATACATTGAAGGCATTTAGGGGCCTACATATATACAACAAGCTTCGAAATGACTAGTAATAGTAAAGTTGGTGATGTCAACCAATTCAAAGCCAATATTATCTCTAACCAAGATAGACCTAACCTAACCTCTCTCTAACCTAGTTAATACTATCTGGGTTAGTGGGTTGATACAGTAACGGTTATAGAATATTTTTTTATTTCCATAATCAACAACATAGTTTTGAAAAAATAATCAATGACAAAGTTTTATAACAAATAAATCTACTACAAATTTTTGTACAATATTATATTTATAATTCGTTTGGATCAGCCGTCTAAAATTGTGAAATAAGCATTTGGCAGTTCTGCTTGTTTACATTGAAAACTCAAGGCAAAGGTAAACATTTGAGTTTTCTCATGCTTCCATGGATAGGCCTAAACATTCCTAGAAATAGGGACCATCTTTGTGCTAAATTTGGGCTGTATCGGTTTAGTATTTTATAGTACAGGTAAAATAATACAAAAACACTCCATATAAACAACAAAATTTGTACATTCATGAAATTTCACCTGTGAGTTACTAATAATATGAGAAATGAAGATCCGATGAGTCCCCAAAATTTTGGGCGTCCTAAGGCCCTTTTTGGGGCCCTTTTTGTTCCAAAGGGCCCTTGTTCCTGAATAATTTTGTTTTTACGTTTAAGGTCGAGTGAGGTGTGGTTTTCGATGGTTTTAGTTATTTTAAATCGATTGGGAGTAGTTTTAAGTGTATTAAACCACTCCATAATGGGTGTTTCGAAATATTATTATTTTTTACGATATTTAAACATTTATTCATAAAGTGATAAAATTAGTTACCTGTACCTCCATGCTCTAAATAAAAGGGGATTATTGAAAATCACTGTAATTCTTTACTATATAAGAGGGAAGGATCACAAGGAGTAAGAGAACATATTAAATACCCCCGTCACTGCAAACCTGCAAACTAAGAGAATTTTCATTTGCCTGATTTTTAATTAAATCTAAAATAGCATTGAGTTTAATTAATACTTAGGTTTGCTGCTACAAGGAGGCTAATAAAGTGTGTTTATAGTAAAATATTAATAGCCTAAAATAAAACAAATAAATTTGACAAGTTTTATTAAGACTTATCTATATAAACAAACAAGCAAAATCATTTTACACTATTCTCCTTAAGAATAACATGGAATTTTAAATTTACAATTTTTGAATTTTATTTGTAACTAATACACTTACAAAACACGTTAATATACTAAATTATTTGTTTTCTTTAAGCTCGTTATAATGCTCTAGATAAAAATTGGGAAACTTTGTCTTTTGAGGGTCAAAGAGTACAAATTTTTACCACATAAAACCCTGTTCCATGGACCGATTATGCCGGTTTTGTAAAAATTTAACCAAAATTACTCGAGTTATCGTGTTTATGGACACGTATATAACATGGATATATTATATTATATGTATGTATACAAACACATATATAATATTTTGAGTATGGTGCTTTAGGCTTCTGCGGGCATCGAAATGAAAACGTAAATCGGTTTCGGGTCTATGTTTTACCATAATGTTATTACCATAATGTCTATGTTTAAGACCTTCCGTAATAGCTTATCTCATATATGGGATGTTCGCTAAAAGGGCATGGATTAAGTTTTACACTATAACATAATAACATAGGTTACTAATCAAAAATTTCAACTTTTAAGGTGGTGTGAATAATCTTTCAACGTGTTTTTTATGCAAATCTATTAAGACCAATTTCAAATTGATAGTATGTATTTTTCTAAGTAGTTATTTAAGTTATTTTTTTTACATTTATTAAAAATTTAAACAATTGTTTTTGTATAAAACCTTACATTACATATTAAAAATGAAGTACTTAAACTAAAGCTATTTTTCTACAATTTCCGTAGTATCTCTCTTTACAATTTCATCATCACAATAATTATTCTCAGACGACTCATTAGCATTTTTATTATTCTTAGCAACTTGTCCATCTTTACTGATTTTGTCCAAGTTGGTGTTCAAGCAGGATTCCCCTTTACAAACCTAAAACCTTGTATATTGCAGAACAGGCAACACCAATCTTAAAGCACGAACAATGTGGTTCAAAAACACCTTTCATACATACTGACGTTTGCAACTTGTATCTTAAGTTCCTCAAACTTATTTTCAATCAATACAAGTACGGTTATCTTTCGTGGTTATGACGACCAGGACAGCACTAAGACATCAGAGCAGCATTGTCGGTACAAGCATTTTCGTCCTGAACAATGGGAACGAGGTTTATGGGGTAAAAATTGGGTTTTCTTATTTACTTTACCCTCAAAACACAAAGTTTCCCATTTTTATCTAGAACATTTTAAATAGCTTAAAAACAAATAATTTTGTATGTTAACGTGTTTTTGTATGGTTATTAGTTACGGATAAAAATACTAAAATTGTAAATTAAAAATTCCCATGTTATTCTTATGTAGAATAGTGTAAAATGATTTTGTTTGTTTGTTGATGGATATATTTTGATCAAACTTGTCAAATTTATTTGTTTTATAGTAGGATATTAATATTTTACTATAAACACACTTTATTAGCCTCCTTGTAGCAGCAAACCTAGGTAATCGTTAAACGTAATGCTATTTTAGATTTAATTGAAAATCAAGTAGGTAAGTAAAACGGAAATTCGCTAGGTCTGCAGGTTTGCTGTGACGGGGGTATTTAATATTTTCTCTTACTCCTTGTGATCCTTTCCACTTACGTAGTAAAGAATTACAATTATTTTCAATAATCCCCTTTTATATAGAGCATGGTGGTAACTAATTTTATAACTTTATGAATAAATGTTTAAATATCGTAAAAATTAAAAATATTTCGAAACACCCATTATGGTGTGGTTTAATACACTTAAAACTACTCCCAATCGATTTAAAATAACTAAAACCATCGAAAACCACACCTCACTCGACCTTAAACGTAAAAACAAAATTATTCAGGAACAAGGGCCCTTTGGAACAAAAAGGGCCCCAAAAAGGGCCTTAGGACACCCAAAATTTTGGGGACTCATTGGATCTTCATTTCTCATATTATTAGTAACTCACAGGTGAAATTTCATGAATGTACAAATTTTGTTGTTTATAAAACCCTATTTTACCTGTACTATTAGTCGTGACAGCCGCCTAGACAGACAGACACTAGCTTAATTATTTTATACTGTGTAATGCCAATATAGATAAATAAATAATTTGTCAACATCTTTTGATTTTAATTGGATTTTATTACTGTATGTTCCGGTCAATGTACTCACATGAAAACTACAATCTTCTCTTTGATCAGAAATGCTAGTGATAGAAACACCTGTATGGAATAAAAATGCATTGGAATACCTTGATTTAACATGTTGACTACACTACAGTATGATCTTTTGCCCATTCCAGGAAATCAAGCAAAACATGCCTGCACCTGATTTGGAACCTTTGGAAGAGAGGTTGAATGAGTTGAAGCATAACATCTACAAGTCTCTTCCCAACTCTAGGCTTACCTCCAAGACTGATTCCCCAGCTTACAGTAGAGCAGCCATCCACGTTTTGGCGTTCAAGGTGATTAACCAGTATTGAGATTGCTCTTCTATATCATAAGTGAAATTAACTTAGGCCCTTTAAGTACAAGTTAAACAAATAATGCATGTATTATAAAATTTTTTGAGCGTACAGAATAAGCAAAGAAAATTGGCTGTTCAATGGTTGTTAATCTTAAAATAAACCTAATATACTGATAGTTTTGTTTGAGGAATTGCTCTATGCCAGCACCGTAATTCTAGGATAAAGAATATCAGCTAGCTTGCCTTAAACAGGGTATCCACCGACCTGGAAAACCTGGAATTATGGATTAATTTAGTATTTTACAGGGAATTTTAAATTTGCCACGATCGCGCATGATGATGATGCAAATTTCAAAAGCAGAGTCCTGGTGTTTTTCTTCAAAATTATGAACGTAAAATCCAAGATATACAAAATTAAAATGTAGACATTTTATTTCTCTACAGGGAAATATGTTTGACTTAAAAACAAATTTTACCCCATCTAAAGAAATAAATATTAGTAAAAGACGCACTGTTCGGTCAAGGTCAATTGACAAATCGCTTAGTCTCGAGCGTGTCTTTAACACTAAAAAAGCAAGCGACATTTCATAATCACACATTTTACCACAAATACTAATCACTAACCCATAATTTACTGGTAAATCTTTTAAGTTTTATTTTTACAAATGTGTTGTTTTGTTTAGTGAGTGGATATGATAGTAATTATTATTATCCCTGTTACTATGGGTCATATTTATTATCATATCATTACCTACAATAATATGGATACAAATTACTATCCTCTCAAGAAAACAAACAAAACAACACATTTGTAACAATAAAACACAATTTTTCACAAATAAAATATGTATTTACAGCTCACAAGACTCACGAGACGTGAATGCTGCACAACAGTAATGGCGACTGTCCCCAAAGAAACAGCTAATTTATGCCGTGTCAAAAACAATTGTTTATTTCAAATTGTGCGTTTTAATTTCTGCCTACAGATTAATTTAAATTATATCACGCTAACACAACCCTTTATTGATTTATCAGTCATTGTCTAAATGACGATTTTTGTCATTTCTAATGTTAGCTGATTTCTAAATATTATTTCCCAAATTATCTGACATTATAATCACGTGGTTCTTAATACAAAAATAAACTCCAGAACTAAATCTTACTATCGGCACCAAACACAACCGATTTTGTGCAAGATTATCAGCGCTACAATTTATTGATTTTATGTGTAATGAATTTACGCAGCAAACTCGCAAAATCGTCTCACGCCTAAATTTTCATTCAAATTGTTACAACAATAAAATTGATCTGTTAACATGTCCTTCCACCATGATCTGTTAATGCTGTACGATACGTTTATATATGAAAATGAAAGTTTAGGATCTCATCTTTCGAATAGTATCCAAAAAATTTGGTTTTGGAATAATTTTTAATGAGTTATATCTGTGACACTATATGAAGATTTTCGTCATGGGCATTTTGGAAGCACAGACATATGACGATCGTCATATTGCCAGCCCTAGGGTTAAATAGATTAATTGCAAATCATTTCAGGCAAATGAAAATTCGCTTGGACGCCAGGATTGCTGTAACGGGGGGTATTTTTCAATATATTAGTACCTTAATATTTTATTCTTGTTTTTGTGTTTCAGAAATGCGTATTGGAACAAGGACGGAAATTGGTAGAGTCCCAACAATGGACGGCTGTCATTGAATATACACAAATGGCTTGGAGGTGGGTAAATTCCTTCCATTCATAGGATCATCAAACATCAAGTTAACTGTGCTGCAATCAATTAATATATCTTGTCTTGAAGATAGAAGACAAAAGACAGAAGAAGTGAAAAGCTTGTGACTTTTGCATTTAAAAATACTACTTTTATTGTGTTCTAGTTTGAATAAGTCATTGGAGCTTTTTTTTATTCAGATATTTAAAAGAATTATTGCAAAAGTTGTGATCTTTTTTTGGTAGATAGAGTTAACTAAAATCTTTTTGTTTTGCCGGTTTTTTTTTAAGCTTTGGTTGATGCTAAAAAGCTGAGCATGAACTTGGCCCAAGCTAGCAGAGCTTTTACGTTCTTGATTGTAAAACGTGTCTGCAAAGTTCTGGCGGTCGAAAAATTCACACTTTTGCTGCGATCGCAGATGACGTTATAGTCCGTTCGTTAGGCTATGATACCCAGCGGATTAGGAACCTTCTCGGAACTCAACTCACCCTCCCGACCCGCTTGCCGGGCTGGAAACTAAGTTAACTGCTGGCGGTTTAACTCAGTTTTTGGTTCTTGTGTAATGCGAAAGCGTCTTCTGCAATGAATACGAAGTTCAGATTGTTTGTTGTATTTAAATTTTCACTGATCAACTAACTCTTTGAATTGCCGCATGATATCATTTGACGGGTTGCTGGGGTGAAAAATATGTTTTGACCGGCGATATAATTGCCGGCAATCTAATCGCCCCTCGATGGGCTATCAAATCCCCTAATGCATGGGAGTTCAAATAAAAATAAAATTATAAGTTGTTTTATTTATTGTTGGGGTATTTATTTACTATTTTAATATTCACTTTCATTCTTCATCTATGAAAGAAAAAAAATTGTGTGTTATAGAAATTAAAATGAGCTGAAATTTATTATAAGTTTAGTTTCTCATTTCATCCTTTTATCTAGCCTACTAAAAAAGTCATATTTACTCTAGATCATTTTTTTGAAATGTTTCTAATGGTTTTTAAAAATAACATCTTCTCAACATCATCAACAATGTCTTGAAGCAGGAGAAATATGTGGCAAATTTCTATTCTGTATCAGTTCTGTTTTACATTGCAGGTATGTTCGAGCTACTCCTCTCTGGGACAATCCTCCACACAATGCAGCTCGGAGGCAATGCTTCAAGACATTGGCAGTTCAGTGTATGACAGCATTTAAACGTTCCTCCCAGCTGACTCCTGCTGACTGTGAAGAACTCTACACCAAGTATGTAGGACTGTCTGATTTATTTTTAGCTTACTTGTGTTAGTGCAATTTTTATGCCTCACTATACTTTGAGCAGCTGGTTTCTGTACTGCTTGTAGACCTGAGAATCTCCGTTTACTGAAAGCATCGACAAAAAGAATTAAATATAGTCTGTCAGCCGTTCTGTGGTTACCATGGTTATCATAGGTTCTGGCGCACACCGCGTGGAGTGCCGTGTAGTTACGTAGCGCCTAGGCCATAACTACATGGCACTTCCAGTGGTGTGCGCCAGAACCTATGGTAACCGCAGCACAGCTGACGGTCTATATTTAGTTCTTTTTGTCTATGCTGAAAGGGATCTGGTAAAACATATGGTACATACAGATCACAGTTTTTTATTTCTAAGAAACCTTTTCTTATGTTTTTTAAATAGGTAGACCTTAATAGACTGCTCGGTAATATCACACCATTTTCACATAGCTTTAAGCAATGTGGGATTGGTACCTGAGCCTCTGCAGGACAGCAGTTTTGTATTCTAACCATAAGGCTTTATGTACATGCCTTGTTGCCTTTTTATTTTCTATTTAACAGTAGTAAGGATCCATTGGGTTGTACTTAAATCGTCTTCATTCAATCTAAAATCAAAATAGCATTTATTCCGCCAAAATATTTACAAACTACATTATATTAGTCATGTACAATGTTTACAATATTGTTTATTTTTTTAATACCGTAATATTAAAAAAAAATAATATAAACATAAAAATACATAAAAGCTTTTTAAATTAGCGAAATATCTTCCACAAAGATTAAATACCCTTGTGTGTGGAAGAGAGTACCATCGTATTTTATATAATTTTTTAAAAACTAATTGATGAAAAAAAAGTTTTGAAACGATAGATATGCTGGAGGACTTAATGGTAAGTGAATGTAATAAAATAATCACAGAGACAATATCAATAGCAGCAAAATCGCTGACAAATCTCATCAGCAGAAAAGGCCAAATTAAATGTAATCTGCCCAAAGATCGGTTGTTTACCTGGGATGTTGAAAAAGTAAAGAACGTTTTAGAATAAAATACAAAGTTTGTACAGGGAAAATCATTGTATTCATTTGAAAGACCAACTAGAATTACTACTTTTCTACATGGTATCCAAACAAATTGAGGCACATGTCATAGCATTGAACAAGATTTTAAACTTATATATGTCATAAAGTTTTGTCTTCTGCTTTTCCAACCACTTGATTGGAGCTTATCAAAGTGCTGTGATGACAATAAAATATCCATTTTTTGATTTTCAAGAGAAAGTGACTCAGGGCAAGGTCTGATCTGTAGGGTGGTTAAGGAAAAATCTCCCATTTGAATGAAGGAGGTAATGTGTGCGATTTTCCGTGTGAGGTCAGGCATTTTAAATTTTAACGCAAAAACAAATTTCGGATGTCAACTTTAGTTCGGCCATTTTAAAACTGAGTTTGCCATTTATGGATAGAACTTTCACTTACGTTGTTTCGGGTTGTTTCACTCACTTGAGAATTTCTATGGATGTTGAATTTATGGCCAAAAAAAATTTATAACAGACCGCACCTCACAACTAGCAGGATTTTCAATTGCAGCACACTTATTGAACCTTAACTTTGCAACAATGACACTTTTAACGGATGAACATTGAGGATGCAAACACGTCCCTACTAGAAATTTAGCATACATCTGTCGCCTCGGAATAACCCTTGTATTTTTATGGAATTTCAGGACAAGTCCATCTCTAAATATAGGCTTACTTATGTTTGTACTTGAGATGGCTCACCAATAAATGTCAAATGAGGTCATCGCCATATAAGGTTTTCAAACCCGATTGAACTTACGTTTTGTACTTAAATATAATTTTCACCATTGTTTTAAACTTTCAGGATGGAATCCTTTGGTGCCGACAGTGACGATTTCCAGACGGTTTTGAAATTTTTGGACACTTTGAGAAAAAAGTGAAAACAAAGGAGATTTAAAAGACTGGTGTACGATAGGTTATCGTAAGTTTTTACTGTTACCTGTTTCAGTGCCTTTTAAAGGTTTTCAAACGGTTCAACTGTATCTACTAGCAAGTAGGTTTTTATTGTCCTGAACTAAGCCTATATTGTTTTGTCCATAAACAAATTTTGTTAACTCTCATTAAAATTAAAAATAAACTCTAGTACAAACTCTCACCTCAGTACTCATGTTCAAATATGAAGCAATCATGTTTGATCAATAATTTAGGTACTGTAAATTCAATTTCCCAGTTAAAAGTGGATGTTTTTTGCTGGCTTCAGCTCTTTTACACTTGCCCCGTGGATACAGTTTGACGACTGAGTTAATCATACTCTGGCACGTTGTGTTTATTTTATTTAGTTGTAGAATTTTAGAAATATTTTTCTTCATCCAAAGCCATATTTTAAGATTATGTTGTAGATATTATGGCGATTTGAATTATTGAAGTTTTGACATAGGTTTTTTTACTACTATGTGTTATTAGCTTTGCCTACATGGCGTTATGTACTCTGATGGTTATTGTTGTATTGTTACAGTCTTGTTTTTTATAAGTTTTTCTGTTAAATTACTGAAAAACTTTGGACTTTGTGTATTTTTATACATATTAATTTTTTGAGTACATGTTGGTATTGCACAATGTTGAAGTGTTTGTTACAAAAAAATGTTATTGCTTAAATTAAAATGTATAAAATCTTGTGCTGGTGAAATTAAAACAATTAAGATTTTTTACATACAAAAATACACTATTGCCTGATATAGGGGCCTAAGTAATAAACTTTCAGTTTTTTTTACAGTCAGTCTACTGTACCAATAATTCCCAAATTTGGTAATATAAATTGATATCAGAGTATTCTCTCAAACATAAAAACCTACAGATTAAATATTTTTAGATTTTTAACTCATAAGGACATATTGACATAGTTTTACGTTTGATTTCTATATCAGCTATTGTATGTTAACATTGAGTATTATAGCCCATTGGAGTGATGTTAATACTGCCATTAGGTGATGTATTAGTTAAACGTAAACCCAAATTTAATTTTATTAATACTGTAAAACCTCTTTGTTAGTCATATGCATGTAACGATATTCCAATGTATTAGTTTACATTTAATGAATTGAAATATTGCAATGTTTAAACATTTATTACTTCCCGTGTTAATGATATTTTCTTTTACTGTCGGGTTCAATACCGTAGCTTGGCCTACATTTAAATAAACCAAGACTGATTGAAAGTTAATTTGATTTATGAATGTAAATTAATTGTATGACAAGATGACTCGATATGATATTCTAATATATTTTGAATTAAGAATATTTATTAACAAATTTTTTATATAGATTTTTAGAGAAATGTTCACAGATCATTCCAGTTTATGTAAATATTGTTGACTGAGTTAGCTGTTAACGTAAAACCACTGATTATATTATACACTATGAGTAGACCCAAGTGTGTGACTTGAGTATTTATTGTAAACAAAATTCACCTCACACCTTCAATTCCTAATTCCCTAATTGTGTACAGAAACTCTGTTTTACCATCTTTAAATATGAGTAGGCTATTGGAGGTTGCCCACAAACATAACACGTTTAGTTTACTCTATAGTGGATATATAAGCAGTGGTTCCACTCAATGGTTATTAATACTACATTTTTCAAAGGCTTTGACATTTTTTATTAATAAGAGTGTTTTAAGTCCTTTAATAGATTGTAGCAAGCATAAAATAGTGTCATAACCCAATTTTGGTTTTGTAGTTTTTTTGTACTGTGTACTGCAATGTAGTATGTGTTTTCAAGTGTGTGAAATAAAGGAATCCCTGATCTTACATAATTTCTAATTTCTTATTATATTTCCACACTCCCATCGTACCCAGTAACAATCTTAAATAATTCAACATACATTATCACTAAACTAAGCCATCACTGTACAGTAAACACAAAAGCTAAACACAAACAGAAACATCCCTTTTGCACCACATCTACGTTTTCACAAACTGGGCTTCACAAAGATATGGTATGTGAGCGTGCCAGCATTTCCCAACATGTTAGAAAGTAACTCGAATGACAAAATGTCACTCGTGCTCGCATTCCACTACTAGCATGCGAGTAAATTTGTGGCGACACTTATTTCAAGAGGAATGCGAGCTGTACTCGTATGCGAGCTTGAATTAATGTTAACGCACCTTTACTTATGTCATTTATATTTTAATTATTACTGACATTGTCCATGTTATCACAAATAAGTGAATCACGTTTATTGACGGCTACATAGTTTTTATTTAGTATTAGCTTTGACTATTGATAAATCAATGGTGTTAGTTAAATAACAAAAGCTATCCTGTAATGCAGAATGTACTGAGGGACGCTTGCTATAGGCTTTTTATTTAGGTATTTATTTGGCTTTCTTTTTGCAAGTACAGTGGAGGAGGCATAGTTAATTTTTATTTTATTGCAAAATCTTTTTCTGCATTAGAAAAAGAGATCAATCAACTGAAATATTAGTAAAGAATGATTATTAGTTTATTTTTTTTTTTATGAAGGGTTCCCAAAACAAAACACATTTTATTTTGCTTGCTACAAAACAGAATACAAATCCCATTTACATTGCTGCACTATCCTAGTTTGTACAAAAATTGAGAACATGCTGAGTTCATAAAATTGAATAAAGTGAATCGTTCATAGACTAAGAATAATTTAGAGGGACAAAAATATGAAAAACATTTAATTGCAAATAATGCAAGATGTACACCATGCACCAACGGGAAGTCCATTTTTTATATTCACAGTTTTGTTTTGAATTTTGAACTATTTCTTATTATTACCAATAAAGCGTAAAACATCAGGCCTGATCAACTCTCCATATAAGTATTTGGCGTTAGTACAGTAACCAACCAAAAAAAGTCAATTGGAGTACATAAAATTGTGACAAGACAGCTAATGCTGGAAATTGGAAATTGCTTGAATGTTAACAATTTTATTTCAAGTTTAAAAATACCCCCGCCACATCAAACCTGCAGACTAAAAGAATTTCCATTTGCTGATTTGATTTTCAAGTAAATCTATTTCAATAACATTAGTTTTAATGATTACCTAGGTTTGCTGCTACAAGGAGTGTAATAAAGTATCTTTGAAGTAAAATATTACTAGCTTAATATAAAATAAAGAAATTTGCTGAGTTTGATCAAAATATATCCATGAGCAAACAATGAACTCCGTCGAATAAACGTAGGTCTGCACCAAATTTCATCCCACCAATTTTGCTTGTGTTATCGTGCTAACTGGTACATATATATATATATGCCCTATCTAAATATATGAATTTGAACGGATGGTGTTTTTGGCCTCTGGGGACATTAAAATGAAAAAGTAAATCGGTCCTGGGTCCAGGTCTTACTATGAGACCTAAGGTAATGGTAATAGCCTATTATACCTAGGGAATTCACTAAAATGACTGAAATTTGTAAACAGACGGGTGAAAATGATCGTACTATGATTATCAATGATTTTAATATGCACCATGACGAAGAAAGCAATATACGGCTGAAGAAACCAATATACGGCTAACGGCAACTTTATATGGCTAAGTAGGCCTTTGGAAAATATCTGTAGAAAACACTAAAAACAGATCAGTGTCTGAAAAATGGTAAAAAATGTCCATTAGGCCTATATCAAAATATTATGAAAACAGTGAGTATTTTCATTAGTTACATAATCTTTTGAATTTTGTCTAATAAACTATTCAAAAATTATGACAGTTATTAGTTTGAAATAACTCCCGTAATACTTGACATTGCTCGATTTCAAGCAACAGGTACACAAATCATACAACATTGTTCAGAGTTGTTTATTTATTTACTCTGCAGACAGCAATACAGTAATTTATACATGTGCCTAAAGTTGCTATTGTCAGTTACCAAGTCATTATGTTGAGCTAATGAGGCTAGTATTAATCTGATGCATTATTGTATCCATGTTGTAGGATTAATTATCCTACATAACATGCATTGAACCTCAGCCAAAACAAGCTACAACTAACTCTTTACTTGATACTGTGATTTGATCACAAATTTTATTTAGCAGTGAATATCAATGATAGTATTGAATTTTAATAAACCATCTGCATGAATAGTTAATTCTTTATTAAACCTTGAGCTTTATAGAAGGAACATTGATTTTAAAAACGTCATGTCAAGGTCTTGGATTCATTAGACATGCAAAACATCCTTAATGACTTGTTGCTTCAAGTTATCTAACAAAACAATGAGTTATTTGAGTTTTTATTTAGATACAACCTGCAAGTCTTATCTTCAAAATTAATTAACTCATTTGCAATTTTTGTTGTTCATTTGCATTGACAATATTTTTAATTTTGTGGATGTGTGTAACTAATACAGCAATGATAGTTTTGCACAAAAAAGATAATTAATCCTTAACTCATAGAAATGGTTTAATAATGAAAACATTATTATTGTATATTTTGGAATACAGATGAATATTAATATGCAATTAAGCCAACTTTATCAACAAGCTCTATTCTGGTTGTTCCATTGATGTTTCAATTAATATGCAAATCCATGGATAAATTTGGAATGTGAAACTAGCATGTCAAATCTTTTATAAAGATATAACCATTGGTAAGAATAACCTTGTCATTTGACAGTGTCAATCACAATCAATAAATAAATAAATTGCAAATCTTAAAGTAGGTAAATACAATGTTTTTTTTTTCAATACTTTCAATCATATCAAGTGTAAATAACCTAAACCCAAAACAAAAAAGTTTGAAATTTTTCTCAGAAATAGAATTCATAGAATGTGGTGTTCCTCAGGGTTCAATCCTGGATCCTCTATTGTTTTTTTTTTTACATTAATGATGCAATAAGCAACAGGTTACTCTGACTAGCTTACATCAAAATAATCTTTGTCTTTATTATGATGACGATTTTTAAAGTATCAGCTGGTACATTTAAGTCCGTAAGTTGAGATCTTGCATTTTGTTGAGCTTGAAAACATTGGAAGTTTCTTGCAGCGGAATATGAAATGAAACACATTGCAACTGTAGGGGCATTTGTAAATATAGGAATGTTCGTTGGGATTTTGAATGAAGCAATGTTATGATTGGTGGCGATAGATAGGTACATGTAGAATTGTGTATTACTAGGTGTTTTGTCCATAAGTGTGGCCTAGCTGGTGTTTTTGGCCGCCATATTGGATATTAATAAAATTTTCAAATGTAATGATAGTGTTGTGACACATAGTTATAAACTATATTTTCAAGCTGATATCAATGCCAAAACCTGTTTTTAAATATCCTTTTTCGTTTGGAAGATATTTTCAAATGAATTCTCCCCCATACATTTCTTATGGACGTTTCGTACTTCAACCTTTTTTTAGATTAATTTTCTTATATCTCCAGTTCTTATTAGCGCATGCAGTTCGTTCTAGCCCTAAAATATTCAGTGATGTAAGGGCTTTCATTTGAGCTAGGGGTATTGATCATTAAAATCGGACGAGTTAGAGTCGAGCTAAGAACCCCAACACAATATTACATTATTTATATCTCGGGTTGATAATACGCCACTACGTTCTTTCTGGTCTCAAATTACTCAGAAAATATATTGTTTTAAATTTTATTTATCACTAAATGAAATCAGACTATTTTAAAATGAGTCATGAACCTTCATTTAACATTAAATAATTTTTATCTCGAAATTCGTCTTAATATAAGACATTCATCAGTCAGGTCATCAGTGTTACAACGATTCTTTGGTGTAAGTACAAAGTAAATGAAGTGTGATGATACATATAAGAGGTTCCAAGTCTAAAAATTGGCTTCCCAAAGAATTATTATTTTTTTTCTAAGATAACGATGAGAAATTGCTGTATTGTGTTTAAACCGTGGTTGTTACCTTTCTATTGCCACCAATCATACGATTGCTTCATTAAAAATCCCACAAAATTCCATATGCCTCATAGCTAAAAAAACTAACTGTATGGTATTCAAAACAAACCAAACAATTAATTGATCCAATAATTAAACTGTAAACAATGAAAAACAGAAAATAAAACCTACACACTGTTTCTAGGTCTAATCGTACTTCAAAATATACGCTAGAAAAAACATGTAGATTAATTACTATCATAATCAAGATCAGGAATGTACTCACTTTCTAGGATAGAATTATTTTGTTATAAAAAAACATTAAAAAATATGTATTTCGCAAATATTAATTACCAAACAAAATGAGAATGGTTAATTGGTTATGCCTATGGTTCAAAACCACAAAATCAAATAAGTTATGATGGACGGTGTATAACTGGTGTAACTGGGCAATAAGGAATGAACTTGGGGTTTATTGCAATAATGAAAACCTTATAAACAAAACATACCCCCGCCGCAGCAAACCTGCAGACTAAGCGAATTTCCATTTGCCTGATTGGATTTACACTAAAATGTCTCCTTAAAAATATCACATTTATTCCCTATTTAAATAGAATCAGTTTAACACATACTTAGGTTTGCTGCAACAGGGAGGGTAAAAGTGTTTTTTATGTAAAATGTTAATAGTTAGTAAGAAATAAAAACATTTTCTAAATTTGGGCAAAAAATGTTAATAAACAAGCAAACTACAACAGTTTACTTATTCTCCATAAGAATAACATGGGAATTTTAAATTTACAATTTTTTGAAATTTTCTCCGTAACCATTAGGTGCATTATAACGCTTTATATACTAAATTATTTGTTTTTTTAAGCTCTACAAAATAGTTTGGAAAGAAATTGCAAAATTTTATGTTTTTTGAGTCAAAAGTAGGAAAAACCCAT